TAAAATTTTTTTCGTGAAACTAATATGAAATTTCGTTTTAGCACCTCTAGAGACCCCTAAATATAAATTTTTGTTTGAATTTGACTTTATGAATTTTTTGACTACTAAAATTTTTCCGAAGTTTTGACCATTTTCTGACCTACTTTGTTTACAGAATGTTTGTTAAAATGATATTTTTATAATGTAGTTTACTTGAAAAATATTTGGTTTTTAGATTTTTTTAAATTGATAAACTTTGATAGTTTTTACTATGTTTTATTACTACATAAAAAATGATGTAAAATGATATATTCAAATAGTTGATTTGAACGGCAAAATAGAAATATTAAAAAACGGAAAATTTCAACTTTCAGATTTTTTTTGGCGAAACCAGGGACCTATTCACAAGAAGTGGCGCGTAAGTTGTCAATATTTTGTAGTGTAGAATCACCAAAAAAAGTTGGGTTCAAATCCGTTTCACACCATCCTGGAGGTCCTCTTGTAAAGGTTCAATAATACCCTGTAACCAACTGAATACTGTTTAAACAACTACTGCAAATCAAAAAATATGTGTAATACAATTCATTCATACAACAAATAAATGACAAATATTGCATTCTATCCAAAGGCAAATAGGAAAAGTATTCACAAAATATTCAAAGATTATATATTCTCATCTCGTTACCGACCTTTCCTAGAAAGCAATAATGGTTGGCAGGTGAAATATTAGACTAATTTTGATGATATTGGGGAAAAGTATTAAACCAAAAGGCCTGGAATAGTCAAGTTATGTGAAATGTGAAGGCACTTTAAACATATTCCTATGAGTTTTGACCAATGAATGGACTTTGTTATAAGATAAAATCACTTCGGAACAAAAACGGAAGTAGAGACTATGATGAAGCCGTATCTCGAGTCCAGATAGGGGTTGAGTCATCTACATAAACCATGTCCGTTTGCTGTTAGTTAAGTTCAGTTTCACTTATCTTTGTTGACCAATATATGCTTACGTTGAATCTATTGAGCTGGTTTTGATTCGGACAAATTTATCACCACTGGAACGGCTTAACTTTTTTCATTAATTAGCAAGTTCGTAAGTTACAAAATCCAATATGGATTTGGCCAAAGTCGAGCTAGCAATCTGAAGGAATTCGATAAAACAGCCCTTGTTAATTGGCAAATTTCTGTAAATACGTAGATTTAGTTTAAAAAGTTAAAAGGGAACAGCAGTCGGCCGCATTAATCCAGAACCGATAAGGGCGTTAAGCCCTATTTTAAAGTTGGGGAAAAGTCGCTTCGAAATTCAACCGTCACGGAGATTCTACAACGTTCCTTTAGACTTGGATTTTCACACTACGCCCCTCGTCATTCCCTGCGGGCAAATTGATATGCCAATTCTGCAGGTGTCGGTTCAAGCACAATCCTGATAATGGCACTATTTGATGCAAAAAAGTGAATTTAATTTGTTACATTTCTTCTCGTGGAGTCTGCGGCGTGATAGGCCTATAATTTGGTTGGTTTCGATCACGTTTGGCCTATCCTTACCGGTTTGGTCTATGATAAACCAGCAGCTTGGCACAAAGGGGAAGACGCGTCTTACAGACCAAGAAAGCAAAGATACACATATGAAATTAATCGGAAACAATCAAATCAAGATGAAATTAAAATTTGAAGTCTTGGCTCGTTATTGGGTCCGTCTACCCTCGGATTTAGTGTAGATCAATTTAATATGCAAACTGAAATTAGTAGCGACTCGTGTAGATGTCAAACTCCGACATCAAAGCCCAGCACAGTGGCTCTCTCAGTAATCCGATCCTATCAACTCATGGGGTATTCGGATCATTGAAAAATTCTGATTGCAGAGGATGTTAAAAAAATACATACTTATGTACAAAACAAATCAATAAGACACTTTATTATTGTTACATACACAAAACGTTAAAACTAGTAGAATGCATGTACACATTTTCATTAAAAAATCAGTTTAAAAAACATTAATTTAACATTTTCTTCATTGCTTATTTCTCTTTTTATCTCATTTTTAAGCAGTAGGTATATTATACTTAACATAAGAAAAATACATATTCATAAAAAATACATTTCTCAAAAATTCGTATAGTACTAGCTGATCTTGGTCTATTGTATGACTCCCTCACACTCAGTCGATCTCATTCTCTCTCTCTCTCTCTCTCTCTCTCTCTCTCTCTCTCTCTCTCTCTCTTAANCGCACACACACACACACACACACACACACACACACACACAAACGCACGCACGCACAAACGCACGCACACGCACTCCCTCCTCGCTCTCTCACTCTCACTCTCACTTATTCACACTCTCTCTGTCTCCTCTCTCCACTCTCTTCGATTAATGTTTTATTGGGTTGATTTGTAAAGAAAGTTGAATATGAAACAGAACGCCACCGTTAAAATGCCCTGAATAATTGGGTTATTTTTCTATCCCCTTGTTCTCTTTGTAATCAATCCCTGGCCGGAAGCGGTCGAAAACGTCCTTTTCTATGAACTGCTATCCTTCCTTTTCCACTTTGTCCTTCACTTGTTAAATTCACTTTTGTGAAAAGCAATTATAGCTGGGACAATTGCGATAGAATTTATTTGTTTGTTTATTATTTATATTGGTTTTGCAACGTTTCGGCTGCCTCGTGCCATTTTTAAGCCATACGTTTCACTTTTAACATTGCAAAAACATTTTAAAAAAATTATTTTCACAAAAATTGATATAAAGATAATATGTAATAAAAAAAAACATGCCGCCATGTTGGAAATTTCATTTTAAGTTTTTTCAACTTTTTGTAGAAAGAAATAAAAACAAAAGTTTTTGAAATTGTAATAAATAAAATATATGACTTGGAAATGGCACGGGATTGCCGAAACATCCCAAAATCGTTATTTTTATTAAAAAAATAATAATTAATATGTTTAATATAAATAACAAGTAATAATAAATATCCATATTTGCTTAGTGGTCATAATTGACTATATTAATTATTCCACTTAACTATTCTTTTTATGTAAGGTTTTTGAGATGAGAAATTAGTGTCACGAGCGGGATTCGAACCCACGACTTGAAAAAATGGCAAAAAGAGGCAAAATTCGAACGGTTGTAAGTTCAGATGAGGAGTTAGTGTCCGAGGGGATCGAAGTCACGGTAGTTCAAGTGGTTAGAGCATCAGCATATTGAGCGAATGTCGTGGGTTCGAATCCCGCTTGTGACACTAATTTTTCATCTCAAACAAAAACCTTATATAAAAGAATAATTAATTGCAATAATTAATATGGTCAATTATGACCACTAAGCCATGGATATTTATTATTACTTGTTATTTATGTCATACTTATTAATTAGTTTGCCTCTTTTTGCCATATTTTCAAGACGTGGGTTTGAATCCCGCTCGAGACACTAATTTTTCATCTCAAACAAAAACCTTAGATAGAAAGAATAATTAATTAGAATAATAATAAATATATTCACATTTTCCTGCCCTCTACCGCAAGGTGAGGTTCCACCAATTATAAGGCTCTAAATTTACAGAAGGGTTGCTGAAGAGGTTTAATTAGTTTGTGGTAAGCACAAGTTTTATTTTGGTCTTTTCTCTATAAATCCAATAATCTCTAGAAAGTTTAGGTGAGACATCTTCTTAGTTGTGCCTTTTGCCTGTCTCTGCCCTCGGGTGAGGTTCCTCCAAGTATAAGTTTTAACTTTCTCCTCTTACATTGCAGATTGAAATTTTACAGAAGGGTTCCTGGTGGGTGTTACTGACTATACAAATTTTTGCATCACTATGAAATTGCTTCTCCTACAATTTCGCATCGCGGGCAGGGTAAACCTGATACACACTCAGGTTTCTACCTCCATTTTTATCAAATAAAAAACCGTCCAAATCATGTGGCTGCTAGCAGGTCGTAATCTATTTTTTTAAATAAATACAGTAGCTGATTTGGACTGAACCAAGTTTTGATTAGTTAAATTTTTGATATAACATCAGTAATGCATAAGCAAACAGAAAAACGGGTCTGGTAGGCACACAAGAACAGGTGACGTTAGGTGAAATACGCAAAATAAGCTTACAACTTTAGGGGGGGGGGTGCCAGTTGAATCTGTTCAGAATTTTGATCTACCTATACCAAAGTTTTGGCTCGGATGCATTTAAGCTTCTTGCCATCTTCAATTATTAATATTAATTTTGGCTGAAATCCACCACTGAGAAGTCGCAATAGCTCAAGTGGTTAGAGTAGCTGTGTATTGAACCGAAGGTAGTGCATTCGAATCTTCTCGTGTCTAATTTTTCATCTCAACCAAAAACTTTAGATAAAAAAAATGATTAATTGGAATAATATTTTAGGTTATGATAAAAAAATTAACAAAAGAGAAAAAAAATATTTTGGTAAAGCATTCCCTCTCTCCTGTTACCTTTGCAAAATGTGTGGCCAAATAATAAATAGTTCAGTACATAAAATTATTTAAAAATATTAATTAGATTTGATAATTGGCAATTTATTAAATGGTGCCGGTATTCAAGACTTCGGAATGTTTAGTGAAAGAACGACGCAATGAATGATAAAGAAAGAAATGCAAAAGGCCTTAATCAGCGTAGCTGATTAGATTGACTGGAGTAAGCAGCAGAACTATTGGAAAGAACGTTTTCAAATACCATTCATTGTACTCCAGTTTGATACCAGCCGGTACAAAATATGTAATAAAACAGTACAGTTTATATTTTGTAAGTATTGCGATCCAAGAGAAAATTGGATTGAGTAAGTTTGTTTAGTATTTACCATAGCCAATCTTGTTACATACATGATAAATTTGTAAGAATCATCAATGAATCAAACATATTTTAAGTCTTAGGGTATCTTTATCAATGTTTAATTGTACAGAATCATCAAGTTTTATCGTTCAAAATTAAGTTTTCCTTTTGGTCAATATAAAACAATCAATTTAAAATAATCAACTTAACCTTCATTTTACAAATTAATAACAAAAAATTTCTGTTACAGATTTGTTTGATTTTCAAATTAAGCGTTATTATGACCGGATTGAGAAAAGAAGACTTTTCCCATTGGTTTTCCTAGCATGTATAGTTTTGAATCAATTGGTAGACTGGTAGATGAATCCTGTGGTAATGAATCAGGCTTTGCAAGGAACTACTCTAACTCAGGTTTTTAATTTTTTTAATATATATAAATCTCTTGCATAGAGCATGTTTTTTAATGAAATTTTGTTTTTAGAGGTACCAACCGGTTTCTATGTGCAGACCTTTGGACTCGAAAGATACAAGCACAACTTGGATAATGCCAGAAATCATGGATTCCGACAGCCTCTCCCCAACTTTCCAGCAAAACAAAGCCGAAGTCAAATTAAGCGCGATGCCGTAAGTCGATTGTAATTCTCCAATCGGACGATTTTTTAAAAATGCTCTATTTTTTTTCCTTTTAAAGGTGGTTTCATGGAAAGATTTCTCGTGAAATGGCCGAACAGCTGCTTAACCCAAGAGTCGACGGTCTCTTTTTGGTCAGGGAGTCGACCAATTTCCCGGGCGATTACACGCTCTGCGTCTGCTTCCAGAACAAAGTCGAGCACTACAGAGTCAAGTACAAGGACAATCAGCTGACAATTGATGATGAAGAATTTTTTGAAAATCTTGCACAATTAGTAGAAGTAAACAATTTAAAATATTCAGTTTAATATAGCTTCTATGATCTTAATACATTTTTGTTTTAATAAAGCATTATGAAGAAGATGCTGATGGACTTTGCACACAGCTTACTAAATGCTTACCAAAACAGGGTAAGCAGGATTTCTGTGTAGACACAAAAAAGTTCGTTGAGGCTGGCTGGGTTATACAAGAGCATGAACTAGAGGTAGGTTCAAACAAATTTATTTTTAATTAAACATTTATAATCATCGAGTGGGATTTTTATTTTTTATTAATTATTGACTGTTGTTTCCTTCTTTAATTTTAGTACCGGGAGCCAATAGGAAAAGGTGAATTCGGAGATGTCCTACTTGCAATTTTTCGAGGGGAAAAAGTTGCTGTTAAAATGCTGAAGGACTCAAGTGAAGCTGCCCAAAAGTTCCTCGCTGAAGCATCTCTGATGACGTAAGGCCGTTTAAATCAGTTTAACATTAGATAAAATAAAGCTGTACTAAATTATAACAGAATGATTTTTTATAATATTCATTTTTTTGCTTTGTCCACTTTTTCCAGATCATTGACACATGAGAATTTAGTCAAACTTTTAGGTCTCGTATTTGACAAAACTCATATTTCTTTGGTCACGGAGTACATGGGTAAAGGGAGTCTTGTCGACTACCTGCGATCTCGTGGGAGGCAACATGTCACCAAAAAACACCAGATAAATTTTGCATGGTGAGTTGTCAATCCGTAATCAGCTCTTAAACTGCCACAGAATTAATTTTTTAATTTTTTAAAATGTTTTTGTTCATCAGTGACACATGCAGTGGGATGGAATACTTGGAAAGAAGGAAGGTGGTCCACCGCGACCTGGCCGCTCGGAATGTCCTGATCTCAGAAAACGGTGTGGCTAAGGTAGCAGATTTTGGCCTCGCGCGGGAAGAGAATTTCACCCTCGACTGTGGCAAACTGCCGATAAAATGGACTGCCCCCGAAGCCCTCAAACAAGGAGTAAGCCGTCCTATAGCAATTGATGTCAGATTCGTCATTAATTTGTTTTTTTTATTACAGATTTTTTCCAATAAATCTGATATGTGGAGTTTCGGAATTTTGCTCTGGGAAATCTATTCATTCGGAAGGGTTCCCTACCCTAGAATTGTAAGTTAAATTAAACCTTTTTTTAGGAATAAGTCCTACAAAGGAAAAAAATAAGCTGCTAGGTCCCAATGGGAAGAACGCTTGAACGTATTATAATAATTTTCAACCTAGTATTACAAAAAATTTAAAAAAAATCCACATTTGTTGCCTCTCGTTGTACACTATACTCATAAATTCATTAAGTTTGTAGACATAATTTTTAATAAAGGCAGATGAGGTGGCTTAGGCCAAGACGTCCCAACCTCCAGACTTAACCACCTCGATACAGCCCTCAGACACTAAGTATGCAATAAAAAACGTGATTAAAAGAAGGTGGCAGCATTGATGGGCTGGATCGGCAGAGAAACTCTCAAGCTATCAAGAGCACTGTCGATGGATGGCCCCAGGAGGATCTGACTCGTAGAAGAGGGGTCGTCCTCTCCCGATTAAGAATAGGCTATGCGAGGTTGACACAAGGCATTTACTTTTGGGCAAAAGCCTGAATATGTATGTGTCCAGCATAGAAAGGTTACTCGATGTGTCCTACCTAACTGAAGGATGTAATTTCTCGGCTCCATATGAGAGCTCGCAGGAATGCCACCTGATTTCAGAATTGTGCTTGAGCATGGCAGCGAGTATTTGGGTCCCCGGCCTGATTATTGGAGGAAATGGGGTTGTTCTCATGTATAATATAGTAATAATAGTTGTGTATACCTATATATATAGTAATATTAGCTTGTGTTGAGAGTGAATGTATTTATTAGTGTGAATGCATGATGTGATAGGGTCTATGGTGGAATGTCGAGTACCCCATCAACCCTCAGATTAGATTAGTTGTATAATGTGTGTAAAGGTTGTGTTGAGAATGAATGTATTTATTAGCTTATTCAGAAATCATGAGATGTGGTCTGGTGTGATGTAGGTTTCAGAAAAACATTTTCTTTATTGTGCCAACGTTTCGATCTTTATTGAGATCATCTTCAGGCCCCAGGATTTACAAACATTGATTAAATTTAACAATAACATGTAGGATGTGGAAAAAAGTTAATTTATACTTTAAATACTACTTTTGTATACAATGCAAAAAAATATTTTTTTATATTGAATCAAAGTATTTCTACTCACTCAAAGTGTTGTGTTTATTAGTGTGAATGAGTGATGTGAGAGGGTCGATGGCAGAATGTCAAATACCTCATCGGCCCTCAATTAGGTTAATTGTGTAATATGTGTAAAGGTTGTGTTGAGAGTGAATGTATTTATTAGCGTGAATATGTTATGTGAGAGGGTCAGTGGCGAATATCGAGTACCCCATCAACCCTCAATTAGGTTAGTTGTGCAATATGTGTAAAGATTGTGTTGAGAATAAATGTACTTATTAGCATGAATTGTGATGTAAGAGGGTCAATGGCAGAATGTCATTTACCTCATCGACCCTCATTTAGGTTATTGTATAATATATGTAAAGGTCATGTTGAGAGTGAATGTATTTATTAGCGTGAATATGTCATGTGAGAGGGTTGATGGCGGAATATTGAGCACCCCATCAACCCTCAATTAATTGTGTAATATGCGTAAAGATTGTGTTAAGAGTGAATATATTTATTAGCATGAATTTATGATTGATAGGGTCTACGGTGTCCTGCTCCATCAATTCTCAATTAGCTAGATGTATAATGTATGTAAATGGTGATGGAGGAATATCGAGTACTCCATCACCATTGAATGAATGGTATCTACATAGTAGTAAATGTATTTAAGAATCAACGTGGGGTTTAGAACTGCGTGTGCTGGGTGCTGAATTGACCTAGTTGTTGACAGCACCCGGATGACAACCTCAATGGCTGGATGGACTATCAGTCGGCCGACTTGTGGTGACGGTGACGGATGACTCCACTTGTCCGTACCATGTTGGACATCATTCAGTAGTTTAGTAGCTTCAAAGCTACATCGTTTTGTTGAGAAAAAAATGTTACAAAGTTTTAAAAATGGTGAATTAGGGATGATAGCACTTGCAGGGAGAAAAATGTGTCGAAAGGTGATAAATTTATTTGATTATTATTTAATTAAATTATTCTGTCTTTATATGCCGTATTTCTGTGTTTTTCACTGGTCTAATCATACAACACAGGAAACTTTCTTTTCTGACCTCTTCAATTAGTTTCTTTGTGTCCATTTTACAAAATAAAATTGTACTAATATTATATAATATAAAATGATAAATAGATGAACAAAATATTAAAAAATAAACTCTACACTGCACCTCACACGATCCGTGTCCGTCAAAACCTAAACCAAACTAGTCGGGCAGTTTGGTGTGTTGGTGCAGAGATGTAGGGACTAGCCTGCTCACTTCCATTGTCCTAATCGCTCTCTGTGTGACGCCAGACAGACGGCCATCATCGATGCGGTCATGTGGGGTCTGACCTTAAGTCAGAGATCTGATCCCGGACTGCCAACATCCGGGGTGGGTGATTTTAGAGTCTGCTGGCAATTTACTGTAAATAGCAAAAGCTAGACTACGAGAAGTGAATAGGCTCAACTTGGCACATGCATGTATGTACACACATGTGGGGATTTGAGCCTATAGAAATCCAATAATTTTTAATATTATAGCTAGAAATTTATATTTGTTAACCTTATGAAAATCTCAGAAACAGTTTCATAAGTTCTGATAAAAGGAGAATATATTCGTCAAAAGTTGTAAGGAGGAACTGACGGTTTATCTTTCTTTCAAATCCACCTTATCCCTGATTTTTTAACATTAAGGCTGATATCGATCAAATAAAAAATTTTAAAAAAATATTTCAGCCCCTGGCGGAAGTGGTGAAACATGTGGAGAAAGGGTACAAAATGGAGGCACCAGAGGGTTGCCCGCCTGAAGCTTATGAAATTATGAAACAAGTAAGACTTATTTTACGTTTATATTCAATTTTTTATATTTATTTATCTTTTTTTGTCTTGTTTATAGGCTTGGGATTTAAACCCCGATAAGAGGCCCAACTTCCGGGACATCAAGCTCAAACTGGTCCAGCTCAGATCAATAACAATCTGAAGCTAATTTATAAAAAAAAAAAAATATTTATTTATAATAGCAAAAATATTTGAAGAAATCATTATAAATAGATATAAGTGAATGTGGTTTTTGTTAATTGGAAAGATTTAGGCTTATTCTTACAATTATAGACTCACATATTATTATTTTTTCTTTAATAATTATTATTCACACGAGCAATAATAGGTAATTTCAACTAAAAGGTTAGTTTTATTTTATTATAAAAATATTAATTTACGTATTATTAAGCCTAAGGGAGATGGATTCTGGTGTTTGGCGATTAATGGTGCAAATTATTTCTTTTTATCGGGTCCTGCTCGTGCAAGTATTTTCTAAATTCGGCTGAAGACTTGCCACTGGTTGCGGTTTTTAATATTTTCAAGGTATTCTCAAGATGAACTTCCTTCTTGACACCATCCCAAATTTAAAAAAATAAATAATGCTCACTGTGTTTATCAATTTACTTTTTTTTTTTTTTTTTCTTGTAGCGAAGAAATGTTACTGATTTATACGTATTTCTCTACCTCTCATCTATGAAAGTATCGAAACTCATGGAGATAGGCCTGAACTTTCTTGTTTCTGTCTGTTACAAGTTAAAAAAGACAAAGCAAAATTAGGCGGAGGTTGAAGTTTGTATTTTATCATTGTCGTTGACTATTTCTTAAATAAAACAAAAATAATAGTAAATAATAAAAAAAAGTTTCTTTACTATAATTATAAAATCAATTTTCCCTCCAAAATGTGCTTTGCTCAAAGCGTTTTGTTTCTTTTCAAACAAATAAAAAAATTGTAATTTTTTTTAACATTTTCAAAAAGTACTTTTTATTTCAAGTAGAATTGTGATATCTATATTAGTGTTTTAAAACAAGTATTTATTAAAATAAATTTGTTTGAGAGTACTGATGCATCACTAGCGAAGTGATATATTATCCATAATGTAATATTTTATATGTACAATAAATTTTAAAATGAATTGTAGTAAATATGGAAATTACGGTTGTGTATATAAATTAATAATTAAAAAAGAAATGTTTATAACAAACAGGAACAAGTATAAGTACATGAAAACTACAAAAATTGCTCAGCCGACTATTTCGTTTTTATGGAAATGTAAATTAGATGGAAAATTTTTCTCCTTGTATTTAGAACAACTAGAATCTCAGGATTGTTTACTACTTAAGTTAAGCCTAAGGTCAGCGGAAAAAAAATCCATTTTCTGTCAATTAAAATTAAATAGAAGAATGCAGCTAAAAATCATAATTTGCCTAATATTACATAAGACAAATGATTTAACACTTAACACTATGTAAATCAAGAATAACAACTGACAATATCTAACAAAAACCTTTATTTTAAGAAAAGTGAGTCTTTAAAGGTCCTAAATGCGTTTCCCAGAAAGTTACTTTTGTCACGCCTAACAACCATTCCGGTGATGGACTAAATCCGATCGGTACGACTGATTACTTTAATACTATCTTGACATATTTGGACTAATATTTACGTTAAAAGGCGAACATTTAGTCAGACTAGAGGCTGCATTTACTATAATAAAAAATAGACTTTTTTAATTCTTTGTCCACTTTTACATCAAGTCATTTGCATGTACATATATTTATATACTTATTATATATGTAAATATGGAGTTCAATATTTCTTAAAGTTATACATGCCATGTTTGTAATTTATTTTCAACTTCATATATATACTTCTTTTCCTCCTCTTTAGTATATTGTATACATTCATAAATGTCTAAATGATTGTACTTATTTTGTTAAAATTTGGTTGAAAAAATTGTTTTTATAATATTAAAAATTTAATTTGATTTTTTTTGTGTTGTTATTCTAATTTGCTAATAAATCATAGATACAAAATCGACGTTTGTCCTTAAACCCAGCTGACCATTTTTTTACCTCCACTGCGATCCAAGAATTGTGGAATCTATAAATTATCGCCGTACCTTGAAAAATGAAGTTTTTCCTATAAGTGTAAGCACTTTCCTCGGTGATTCTTTGTGCATCTCTTTTGGTGAGAATCGCGTTACTGAAGGGGTAGTTCTGTAACTGGGATAACGCTTCACATTCAAAATGGATATTCACCTGTGTCTCTAGTAACTCTTGTCATAGTCGACATATTTCTGTCTCTTTGCTCATCTGCATTCGGCGATAATTAAGAAGCTTATAATTTCCCCCTTTGCCTTCTTTTTTAAGAGATTTATAAATCTCACCTTACCTTGTACCTTTTCTTTCTCAAGACATTTTTCCATTTCCAACTTACGCACACACCTAACAGGATACTGCAGACTAAATGGACATTTGAAGAAGATTGGTACAATTTCATGTGTACAGTAACACCGACAGCAACTGATATCACACAAGCTGACTCAAATCACCCACACAGACAAAATAACAGCACCGAAATACATGACAGCAGTCAGACTAAAATCAATCCCACTAAACAAAGACAAATATGAAAACTAATTAAAAAGAATACAAACCATAGCATACAATAATGGCTATAAAACACAAGAAACACAACACCTCAAAAAAAGACACTAAATGGACCACAGACATTGGGAAATAAAACAAACTTATTAAAAAAATTAGGCATAAAAACAGCACTGAAAACTGCAAATACAATGAAACAGCAGGAAAAACCTTGAATACTAGCAGGATTGTTAACAAGACACAGCAGATTGAATGGACATCTGAAGAATACAACATGGCAAGTGCAGATTCTGTAAAGAAGCATAGAAAACACTAATATATTACTAACAAACTATGGTGTTATATATTTACTAACTATGTGCTACACTTGCCCGCAGGAGGAAGTGTTTTCGGATGTACAACTAAACTGTAGAAGAACTTCAACCACTGAAACCGGGCCTACTGATCAAATTCCTTGATGAACTAGCATACATTGATGTGCTATAAGCACAGAAAGTGGGATTACAACATCAAAGGAAGCAGGAAACGACCCCAAATCCTGACATCATTCTTGACAGGATACTGCAGACTGAATGGCTTCTGAAGAAGATTGGCATAGCCTAACCAAGCAAGAGCGGATTCTGCAAAGAAGCAGAGGAAACACCAGCACACCTACTAAAAAACTGTGATGCTACACTTGCCCACCATAGGAATTGTTTTGGGAAGAACTGTAGAAGAAATTCTACCACTGAAACTGGGCCAACTAATCAAGTTCCTTCATGAATTAAAACCCACCGTTTTGCTATAAGCCCAGAACAAGGGATGCAACATCAAAGGAAGGAGGAATTAACTCCAAATTCAGACAGCCTTCTAGAAAGGATACTGCAGACTGAATGGGCATCTGAAGAAAATTGGCATAACCTAACCGAGCAAGTGCAGATACTACAAAGAAGCATAGAAAACACCGACATACCTACTAACAACTGTGATGCTACACTTGCCCGCTGGAGGAAGTTTTTCCAATGTACAACGTAACCGCAGAAGAAATTCAACTACTAAAACCAGGCCTACTAATCAAGATCCTTGATGAACTAGCACTCACTGGTGTGCTATAAGCACAGTACAGCGGATGCAACATTAAAGAAAGCATAAAATAACCCCAAATCCTGACATCCTTCTTGACAGGACTGCAAACTGAATGGGCATCTCAAGAAAATCAGCAAAACCGAACCCAGCAAGTACAGATTCTGCAAATAAGCTTAGAAAAATCAACACACCTACTAACAAACTTTGGTGCTACACTACCCACAAGAGGAAGTGTTTTTGGGATGAACAACATAACCAAATAAGAAATCCACCCACTGAAACAACACCTACTAATCAAGTTCCGGGATTCACTGCTGTGCTATAAGCCCAGAATAAGAGATACAACATCAAAACACACAGGACACTGAAGACTGAATGAGCAACTCAAACAAGCAACCAAACAACATGCAGTTTCTGCAAAGAAGCACCTACTAACAAACTATGGTGCTCACTTGCCTGCAGGAGGAAATGTTTTGGGACTTATCACTTATCCGTAGAAGAAATTCGACCATTGAAACCAGGCCTACTAATCAAATTTCTCGATGAACTAAGACTCACCGGTGTGCTATGAGCACTGAACAGCGATACAACTGGTCTTAAAAGGTGCAATTAATACATCTACATTTTGCCGGACTTGCTGAGGGTTAGCTAAGCTTATTGTGCTTAGCACCTATAGAGTTTGTACACTTCTCCGTTTGTCTTTTTTTGGATCCATTCGGTGATGGAGGATTTGTTTGTTTTTGTTATACCAAGATTGGTTGAAGGCATATACGGTCCTGTAGTCCTCCTCTGACAAGATTTTCGTTATCGAAAATTTCTTTCTGTCCTTGTATTCAAGAATGTGAATTTTTAAGTAAATCTATGATTTTTGGTTCTCCAAAGTCGTTACCGTGAAATGACATCATCAGGATGGAGACGACTCCTGAGTCTCGTTTTCAACCTTCGCCGGAAGGATTGCCGAAGATCGGTCCGAGAAGGGCTTTGACGTAAGTCGGGATGTCTGACGACTGCCCGCCCCCTGCTGACGAGGAATGAGCCGAAAACTGCGAACATGAACCGAAAACTGCGAGCATGAGCCGGCTCCGATCTCGACCCTGATCCGCGAACATGAACAATCACTCGGAGCCCCTGCAGCTCATGCAGGCCAAGTTCCCTTCGGACAACGTCTCCTGCGTATCCTTTTATTTTTCCTCTCATTAAATACACACTTAAGACTTTTCGTCCTTTACGTAAGTAACAATGAATTTTTCAACTTGCACGTGTACAGAACAGGATCGAAATTTACAAACTTAGTGACTTTTTTTATATACAAAAAAATATGTGGACTTGCCTAGTTTCGCTGTTTTTCCTCAGTTTGTTTTAATTACACTATTAAACATTTCAATTCCAGACAATTCAGTCTTTTTCTGAAGCATAAGCCCCAAATAAAAGCCTTTTTGTACCCAGAAACTTATCCATCATTCACCAACTATTTACATTTGTCGTAAAATAAAGTTTTTTTTATTGCAAATTCATAGACAATTTAAACTACTTATAAACAAATGAACGTTTTGGTCCACTATCTGTTACCCATATTTCATGTGATTTTGTCATTTTCATGTAACTATTAGATGTTGTTTGAGTATTGATCTGCAGAATCTATTTAGGGTTACAATCTTCGTAGAGGTCATTAGACGGGTGAAAGAAGGAAGACTAATTGCTAGGTTCACCAAGCTTTCGGTACCTTTGCCATCATCAGGGTCTATTTAATTACAAATTAAAATAAATACACAAAACATACAATTTTAATTGATGTAATACAATGCTATACATTTATGGAAAAGTATGTATAGCTACTTATGTATAGATGCCGCATCTCACGATTTCGGAATAATCGTAGACTAACGGTCACTAATCACCACAGTATGTATAGCATTTTATTACATTAATTAATAATTGTATGTCATTGTGTATTTATTTTCATTTGTAATAAGATTTAGTAATTCTTGTCATTAGGTTCTGCAATGGTCCATTGATGAATTTTTTCGCATGCTTCTGTCTTGGGCTACATCCTTGGAGGACTTAATTTTAATCCTGTCTAATGTACGTTCCTGTATGCCCTCGGAGTCTCCAGTGACCAGTTAGCAATACAATTATTATTCTAGCCCTGACATGCCCTAGATTGCCTTGGAGCCCTGAAGATGTTCTAAATAAATATCGAAACGTTGGCACAATAAAGAAAATGTTTTTGTAAACCTACTCACGCAAGACTGCATTTCACGAATAATTATTGATCACTGAATACTACACATATTATTATAGTCCTGACATGTCCCAGATTTAGTAAATCTGTCATGTTTGCAGTGGTCCATTGACGAGCTTTTTTGCATGCTTCTGTCCTGGGCTACATTCCTTGGAGAACTTAATTTTAATCTTGTCTAATGTACGTTCCGCTTTTTTATGGCAAATCTGCACAAGCTTATTTCTGTCACTCCAAGTTTTAAAAAATTCCCTCGAAGTCTGCAGTCCAGTTAGCAGTCCAACTATTATCCTAGTCCTGACATGCCCTAGATTTAGTAATTCTTGTCATTAGTTTCTGCAGTGGTTCATTGATGAATTTTTTTCACATGCTTCTGTCCTGGGCTACATTCTTTGGAGGACTTAATTTTAATCTTGTCTAATGTACGTTCCGCTTTTTTATGGCAAATCTGCACAAGCTTATTTCTGTCACTCCAAGTTTTAAAAAATTCCCTCGAAGTCTGCAGTCCAGTTAGCAGTCCAACTATTATCCTAGTCCTGACATGTCCTAGATTTAGTAAATCTGTCGTTTCTGCAGTGGTCCATCGACAAACTTTTTTACATGCTTCTATCCTGGGCTACATTCCTTGGAGGACTTATTTAATCCATTGTCTGCTAGATCCATGTTTTTTGCAGTTTGTGTTGCCACAATAGCGTTCTGGGCCAATATTTATCCTAATCAACTTTCCTTGCTCAATTTATCGACCTTGAGTACTCTCGTACCCAGATAAGGGTAATTTTGTTGTTAGTAATTTTGAGGATACTCAATGTCTGACAGGGCTTTGATGCATTCCCAAAAGGCCTTGGACTTTATAGGAAAACTAGACAAAAGTTCTACTCAGGTTGAGGTTCAGAAGGCCTCCAGCACATGTTTGAAAACTCATGGATTCGAGAAGAGTTACTTTACAAACTGAGTTACTGAAACCAGTTTTTATACTGTTAATTTTTAAACAAATTTCTGTTTGAATGAAAGTTAACACAGTTATAACAAGGTACGTTTATGAACAAGAAGAATAAAATTGTTTTTTTCTGAAATGACATTTGAACGATGAACTATCAAAACTTGAAAGGGCATCATGTTAATTACATTGTTTAAAAAATTGTAAGCTTACGAGTTGCTTTTAAGTGCGGCTTTTCATAAGAATTGAATATAGCAGCTTAGAATACATTATTTAACTATGAGAAATAATTGAATCTATTGTCTGATTGTTTCTTCTCACAGAAGATTATGATTATGCTCGTTGGCAATAGAAATTGTATGTCTTGTTTTGCGGTCATTATGAAAACCTTGAACTGTATCAGAAAATTTTTGCTTTTACTACAAAAATTTCATTTATGTGGCTTAAGCATGAATAGTTTGGATTAGAATTTTATGTTTGTATTTCTAGAAGACCTGTACTGATAAATCGGTTAAACATTAACAAATAAAAGATAACGTTAGATTGTTTACCCAAATGTGGCCAAATTGGTTGTGATATATTCAGAACAAATATGTCGTAAGTGGTTTGATCGTGAACCTTAGATAATAGAAGTATGGCCAAATGTTTCCTTCTGACCCAGGTTGTCAACCTAAAATGATAAAACATAAAAATAAGCATATATTGAAAGAAAATAAAACTATATAATAAATTGTAAACTAAATAAAATATTAATTAATTGATATTAAAAATCATTTCTTGTGTTTATCAAATGTGTGAATGGTAAATTTAAATTTAATCAATTGCAGATAGTTTGAAAGAAAAAATAACTCGCACTTTGTACTAGCATATTTTCTCTGCTTCACAGAAAAACTCTAAATCATGGATATGGAATCCCATCCATAATCCTAACCTAATCCTTGCTTATTCCTCAGTAACATGAAATAAACAATGCAAAAATGGTAATGCAAAAATATACGGTATATCTAGGCCAAAACAATATACTTATGATTAAAAATCCACCATTATACTTGTAGCAGGAGGTCCAATTTTGGTATGATTCAACAAAGCAATTGACAACTTTTATGGTGAATTTTATCAATCTTAATCCTGATTTTTGTTGTTGTAATTATTGCGTTAAACAGTAATGTAGGTTATTTGGTTTTAGCCTTTGTTAATGTATGTTATAACTTCAGCAAGTGTAAAATCAGTTTGGTCAGGTTGATTAATCAACATGCTCTTTCATTATTTACCAAAGATGTTATTTTTAATGGTTGATGATGATGATGGATACTAGGAACTCAGTTTTTTCCCCCACTGACTACAGTCTTCTAGCTTATTGTACTTTCCTAGTTCCTTAATTCAGTGCAGTCGACTCGATCCTCCTCGTAAGAAGTACTAGTCATTAATTCCTTTCCCTGCTTCGCATCCGAAATTGTCAAGGTTGGTTTCTTCCTCCTCACGGCCTACAAATTGGGTCGTCATTAAATAGACCATGTTATTCTGCCAGAAACCGGTATATAGTCTTATCACTCCTCTGAGTTTAACATTTTTTAATTGCAGTCGTGTTTGCCAGTCTTGTCTGGTTGTTTTAACATAAGCTTACTGTGCTTGCACCCTGACTTTATCCACTTCTCCTTTTGTCTTTTTTTTTTTTTAGATCCGTTTTGTGATGAAGGATTGTTTGTATTTGTTAACACAATAGTTCATGGTCTATATATGGTCTTGCAGATCTCTGGCTAGTGTTTTTGCCTTTTCATTCCATCGGGTTTTGTCTATTTTGGATGCACTCACTGACTTTGATGTGATTTTTTTTTAATAGCTGCTTGGCTATCTCATCTTATGAGGATTTTTGTCGGTGTAACCTCTTTTAAGATTTTCTAAGGCACAAGCATTGATGACACGAATTTCAGCTTTTAATAACATATTCGTTCCATTCTATTACCAAAGAAGACAAGTTACTTTTAATGGTTACATATGAAAACATTAAAGGCGAGATATGATAAAACTCTATATTTTAAAAACTAATTTTTTTCTCTGTATGTTGGATGATCGTTGGATGTAAATTGCTATTTTTTGGATGGAAAGCGGTAAGTTAAAAACAGGATAAAAAACAAAACCCTAAAATAAAGAAATAAAATGATTAGCCACTAGTGTTTTTTCTCTGATTAAATTTATACCAATTTTTAAGTATTTTCATTAACATTGAATCAGTGTGTCAAGGCGAACTTAATACAAGAATTTAAAACTGTCCGCTATCTTGTGATTGTGTCGTGGGGCCACAACAGCGCTATTTTCATCCTGTCCTCCGGTGCCGTCCCTCCAACATCGACTAAAGACTTAGTAATCGAATGGATTTTACCGATTGACGAACACTTCAGATGTGATATCGGTAAGTATTCCAAAAGACCGCATCATTATTTATATTTTAGCAGTGTATTTGAAATATTTATTTGTATAAACAATCCGATTGTTAATGAATAGAGTGAATGGTTTTAGAATTTATATAAAAAAATGAATAAAGTTCAATGTCTAATCGACAACCCTATAAACCGGGTGAAGTCGTAAAGCAGATGCCATTTGAGTACTTTTGGAAAAATTTTCCATATTTTGTTATGTTAAATATGGATTTTTTGCCTTTGTTGTGCATGTATTTCAAAGTTATTTAATTTTTAAACCTAAGATAAAATATGCTAATAAAAAAGTTAAATAATTCCTGTCTTACAGGAGGACTTTAACATTCAACCACCCCTTGGGTGGTGCAGATGAGGTGTCAGAACCACTTTACAGTACTTTTTTAATTTTATTCTCAATTAAAAATCCTATGGGCTATGTAAAGATATTAACTCAGAACCACTATCATGGTAAATCAGTTGAGTCGGATGCCCTGACCTCTGCAATTGCAAGAAAAATAATATACAGGGTCATTTTAAAATAGATTAGATTTATAAAATTGCTTTGTTGTGCATGTGCTTTAAGTTATTATATTTATCAGGTTTTTTTTTAAATCAAGGAAAGAAAATAATAAGCAGGATTGTTTTAAATGAGATTTATCAGAAGTTGCAAAAACCAAAAGACCTCTCCAGTAAATTAGGCCAATCATTATTTTTATATAATTTTTTTTCGGCGGGTTTAAAAAAAAAAAGAAAAGCACATTTTTAAGCCCATCCCAGAACTGTTGTGGCTTCCGAAGTCCCTTTACCTTTTTAATTCTTAACGTTCTTAAATACAATTTTTTATAATTTTATTTTATTTTATTTTATTTCTTTTTTTAATAGAAAACAAAAATATAAGCGGAATTTTTCTTCTTTTTGTATTATTTTTTAAACAATGGTTCGCAACAGCAGAGATCATATCGGCATGTTGGTATGTGTGAAAAAAAAGTAATTGTAATTATTTAAGTAATAATAATAACAAGTAATTGTAATAATAAGTAATAAGTAGCTTTAAGTAATAAGTAATTGTAAGTATTTTGGGTTCAAATGCAGGGATGGGAGATTCGAATCCAGGAACTTTACCTTACAGTATGAGCACATGTCAATGCCCTAAACCATTGCGGCAACCGACGCCCCTGTTTCTTATTTGAATCTATGTCCACAATCTTCCGTTTATACATTATAAGTGAGAAAAATTATGGCAAAATCAAGAAACTGCTCCCCAAACTTTAAAAAATCCAATTAATTATAATTTATATTTTTTTATTTATTTATTTTTATTAAACACCAATTTTAATTGTTTGTATTTTATTCTCCATACATTTTGAGCCTTGTCCTTGGCCCTTTCTCTCGAGAAGGAGAGTTCTAGAAAACCCGTATTTAGCTATTTAGCTTAAATAACTGCTTGGGATAAGAGCTACAGAATAAATTACAAGTATTGGTAGGAAAATCGGCATTTAAACTTAAAAAAAAAGTGCACCACCAAATGAATTAAAAAAATTGTTATGGTTTTCTGCCTTCGCCTTCTGTGAAACTCAAGGTTATTGATTTTAAATCATTCGATTTATTGTCCTACGGCAGCTGTGAAATATAATTTTGATGTAGTGATAGTAGGTTAAAAAATATTAATAGGAAGAAACAAAGCTGACCTTCATTTTCTGCACCCTGAAACACCCCGAATACAAATTGTTGAAAAAATCCAAAAATATATTTTTTTTCTGGCAAAATTTCTCCTTCCACGATTTCCCCCCCTGAAAATCACAAAAATAACTTTAAACTTTAAAAACGCTCCACTGATCTACAAGAAATTTCCCAGGTCTTTTGAACCTTATAAACTAAACATAATGGCACAACTTTGGCCCTCATAAATCAAGTAGAATTGGATATATAAAACAAAACGTCTGAAGAGTCTTTGTTGATTTTGTCTTTATTTTTCTCCACTTACAGTGACATAAAAAGTAAATGGTTTTGGAACAATCTGAAAGAAGAGAAATTCACCTTTTGAACGGTTGTAAAAAAACGTTGGTTTTGGATAAAATCCGTTGGGATTATAAATTTTTAAGTGGGGCACTGGTGATGACCACCAGAGAAAAGAAAAATTCCTACAGGCCCATACAGCCAAAAAATGTCTATTTTTTATTGCAATAAAAATCTGTATCTGAGCGTTTTAAAGATTAAAATGTTTGTTGGCCTAATTTGCTAAAGAATAATTTGATTTGAATCTCATTTAATATAAATCTTGCATATTTAGGTTTAAAAAAATTGAATGAACAAAGATAGAAAACTTTATTAAAAAAGGTTACTTAAATTAACTAAAATATTATTATCTCATCTCCTAGGGCCCATTGGCAAGAACATTCGAATTTGTAATATTTTTCAGTCTAGTGTCGCCAAAACAAAGATTAATTAAAATCGATGATCCAATGTCTATAGTCTCCCTTGTATTCAAATTTTTTGCCTATTTACTTTATGGGCATGTTATAAATCAAGGATGTCTTACCCAAGAGCAGGAGTGTTTTCCAATGTTCCATTTTTTTAATAAATGTTTATTCATTTATTCATTCCAATGTTCTAAATAAAATACAAAAAAAAAATTATCGAAATAAACAGTTTAAATTAATTTAAACAATTTTAAAGTTTAAAGAAATAAGTAGGTTTACGCGTGTGTGGGTTTTGAGTTAATTATAAATTAATAATATTATTTTCTTGTTAAGTGTGTGGAAACAGAATTGATAAAAGTTTACCTGATTGCGCCCTGTCGTCAAATGTGGTGAATAAAATCTGTCCGGTCTCTAAAATCTGAATATTGTCTCTTCAGGCATCGACATCTCTTTCATTCGTATATTTCACTAGATTTACTTGTTGCTCTGTAACGAGACCTTTGGACCTTTAAGGACTTTTCGTTATCATTCCGTTCCCTCTCCTTTGCAGAATCGGACTTCAACCAGGAAGACACTTCTGACATATCCTTAAACATTTGTTCAAACAAGCGAAACTTCATTTTTGAACTCGGCCTGGGCGAAGCGTCAAACATGTTTGTGGGCGAGATTTACAAGGCGACTGAAAGTAAGTGTATATACTTTAATCATTTACAATTTGTTAAATCATTGTTTTATTATAATTTGAAATGATAAAAGTAAAAAAAATTAATCATATTGTTTAAAATATTTTGCGGCTTGGAAATTATGTGAAATCTCTGATTATTATTTTTAAAAAAAATCCAATAAAAGAAATTTTGTTTTCTGTTTTTGGTTTACCGGTTTTTACAATAATCAAAATCTCATGAGTTTTTGGAAGTGTATACAGAATTATAGCCAACTTTCTTTTCAAACTTGGCAAACTATTATTTTACGAAAATTATTTTTTGATGTCTACTAATAAATAACTCAAAGAACACAGCCAAAAAGAGTAACAAAGGAGTCACTTCAAACAGCACAACTCACAGATAAAGCTGGATCAAGTATCAAAGAAACTAGACTGATTGGGTGATTCATTTGTTCTTTAATTAACTCAGAGATGATTGTCCATTAAAAAAGATAATGCTCACATTTAACACCCATGTTTACATATCATCGTTATTTTCAACCGGCCCAATTTATGTTCATCCCTGCTAATGTTGCATTTCGATTAGAAATTTTGAATTACTTTCCAATTTTCAGGATTGAACCGGCAAAATAGGTATTTCGATCATGGCTGGCTCAAGAAATACCACAGTACGTATAAAAACAAGTCCAACGATGAGGAGGGCATCGCTGATCCGGTAGGAAAATTCAATATAAATTAATTAAAAATCATTTGAAAAAATAAAGACATGTTTCTCACAGATTATGGACAGCCTGGACATGTTACTTCCGAGAGAGAGCCTCGCTACTGGGAAGTGCATGATCCCAGACAGGGATACAATCATACGGTACGAGATGAAAAAATTCGAAAGAGAATACACTGATTATGTACCTTTAAGGTAAGCCTTTAAAAAATATAATATAGTAGACTCTTTTTACTCATGCGAATACTTACCAAGCATCACCGAGGATAACAAGAACCCTGAATAGGAAATACTTCGAATTTCAGGCTTTGAAGCATTTTATCAGACACTTTCTGTATTGCGTGTGCCTATTGTCAATGTTATGTATGAACACATATTTCAGGTTTTTTCAGTATGTATGGTAACATACGTAAAGTTTATTGTACACAGGAAAACAATACATTCATACATCAACATGTATGCACCTTTCCACATCGGATCATAATACTATCGCAAACTTTTATAACTGATTTTAAAGTGAGGCTTTTTTTCGCACTGTTTTTAAGTCTTTTATGCATGGATGAATCATTTTTATTGTAAAGTTTAGCGACTAATACATGATTTATGTTGCACATCTACAAATAAGTGAGTGTTGATAACGAAAGCGCAGATAACAAGAGTCTACTGAATACATTATTCTATCCATAGATTTTAGTAGTTAATAGTTTTCTTAAATTCATTTTCTATTCGTTTTGAAGAGTTTTCGTCGGGACTTGGAACGTCAATGGCCAGCCTGCTTCGGTCAGCCTTCAAGAGTGGCTTTCATGTGATGTCGACCCACCAGACATCTATGCAATCGGCTTCCAGGAGCTTGACCTCTCCAAAGAAGCGTATTTATTTACTGACTCAATACGAGAAGAGAATTGGAGGTGAAGAGATGTAGATTTAGATTTTATTTTAGCTTTTTTCTTATTAAAAAAGTTTTCTCTTTTGTTTTCTCATTACTAGCTGAGTTAATAAACTTTTTTTAAATTGCATGAACTGTTTGTTAACAAATGTAAAAGGGATATCAAGCATGTTATTTATTTTTTTTAATATATTTTTTATTTAGAGGTAAAGGTTTCACGTCTGCCCTTTTTCCCTAGGCTTATGGTCGAGAAAGGCCTCCACAATGGAGCCCAGTACAAAGAAGTAAAATTAGTTCGCTTAGTTGGAATGATGCTCATTGTATATGTACAAGAACAATATGATGTTATGAACGTAGCTGTAGACAGAGTAGGGACAGGTATTATGGGGAAAATGGCAAGTTTCATACATATGACGTTAATTACGATTGTAATTTTCATTTCTTTCAATATGGTGTTTTATTTTAGGGGAATAAGGGTGGCGTCTCGGTCAGAATGGAAATTTACAATACATCTATGTGCTTTGTAAATTCACATTTGGCAGCGCATGTCGAAGAGTATGAGCGGCGCAACCAGGACTACAATGAGATCTGCTCAAGGACCTCATTTACAGCGTTCACACCGCCTAAAGCCATTAAAGACCATGAGTAAATTGAATTTTAAATTTTTTTTGGATAGTTAATAAATACTTAAGCGGCCCATAGACGATCAATATTATTGCACAATATTTTGGTTTGTGCAATTTAATTGATCGTGTGTAGACGATATTGAAAGTTTGTGCAATACATTACATGATTGACGAAAAGTTGAAAATATATTGTACAACCTGGAAAATATTGCACCGTCGGTTGGCATTATTGTGCAATATCAGTCAGTTTGTGAAGTATTAACAAGTGCACAAAATATTGCACAAACTTCAATATCACCTTCAAACTATTCAAGTTCATTGCACAAACAAAATTTTGTACAATATTATTGAACGTTAAGGGGCAACCGTCAAATTATTGTGCAATCTATATTGTAAATATTGACCGTCTATGGGCTGCTTAATATAAGGTGGGCTCCAGACAATCAATTATATTGCACAATATTACGAATTGTGCAATATTTTTGACTGTTGGGTTTATATTGAAGTTTGTTCAATAACTGGATAAAAGTTTGAGCAAGTTTAATTTTTATTGCACAATATTTTTTTTCCATTGTACCGTGTAGTTAATATTGCGCAATATTTTGCACTCTCCTACAATAGCTGCAGCCAAATCTTGGCCTGATATCTTGCAACACTAGGTCTTGCTCATGCGAAAACATTGACACTCATGTGCCATCAATATTATTGTGTCATAAATTGGGATCAAGATGTCACTCTGTATTATTGCACAATAAAAGTATGGTGCATTGTTATTGTAGGCATAGTGGCAATTTTGTCATTGGTTGGGTCTGTCAGTTGTGATTTAGCCTCCACTCAGCAAAGATATTGTAATAATATTTTCTACTGATTATCGGCGTGCTCCTTCCTAAACATTTTCCTCCATCCTTCTCTATCCTCCGCCTGTGCTGTTCAATTACTACAAGCAGTTCCTCTCTTTTCACATACCTTCTTCACACCATCTTCCCAATTACTTCGGGACCTCTCCCGGCCCTCGACAGCCTCGTAAGACACTCTATGCCATGCCCAAACCTATTCTCTCTACTCTGCTGGTTGTACTCTTAGACTGGACCTGTTAACACGCACCCTGGCTCTTCTAATTGATGTTTCTCAAGTATATCAGTTAGTTGTTATACAATGTATATTGTGTTATAAATCAAAAATAGAATTATTGTGCATTGTATTTATTTGAATTATAACCTACTGTTCTGATAGTCAGGTATACTGGTTGGGCGACCTCAACTACAGGATAACAGGTCTGGACGTAAATGCCGTCAAAGAGTACATCCTGATGGAAAAGTACAAACCGATTCTGGAAAATGATCAGTTGGTTAAACAACATAGGCTGAAGAAAGTTTTCGTTGGATACAAGGAAGGTCCGATTAATTTCATGCCTACGTATAAATACGATCCTGGGACAGACAATTGGGATTCAAGGTACAATTTTATTTTTTAATTTTTTTCTTGTTGATATTCTTGTCAGAATGTTGTTTTTACTTAATTTCCAGTGAGAAAAATCGTGCTCCTGCTTGGTGCGATCGGATCCTTTGGAAGGGCGATTCGATCCAACAGTTGGAGTACAGGAGCCACCAGATCTACCAGATAAGCGACCACAAGCCGGTCAGTTCGGTATTTATTTCCAGGGTGAAAAGGATTGACGAGATCAAATACAATATGATCCGCGATGAAAGGCTGAAGGTGCAGGACAAAATCGAAAACGAGTTTCAACCTCAGGCCACTGTCGACAACACCGAGATCAAATTTAACACGATCAACTTTATGGAGCCTCAGTCAAAAGAGTTCACCATCGCCAATGTCGGAGTGGTATGTTGTTACAGTTTGAATTTCAGCTAAATACAGATGTGAAAACCCCAAAACATTTAAATTAAATTTAACATTTAAATTAAATTAAATTCATTTTGGGCTAACAATAGAGTCCAATTATATATGTGTAACAAATGCCAATCTAACAAGGGGACAGCCAGGTTGGTGGGTCACGGATTTGGACCATACTTTTGTTTTTGGTGATTCTACACTTCAAAATACCAGACACATACCCACCACTCCTTCTGAATAGGCCCTAGTTTCATCAATTTTTTTTGTTGAAATTTTTTATTTTTTAATATTTTTATTTTTCCATTCTACTTGCTCATATCAACTATGTGAGTATATCATTTTAAATTTTGTGTAGATTGCAATAAAAATATAGTAAAAGCTATCAGAGTTTATCAATAACCAAAAAATTCTACAGACCAATTATTTTTCAAGTAAACTAAATCATAAAAAAAAAAAATTTCCTGTCAAACTAATAAAAACCAATAAGAACTTAAGGGAATTCTTAACAAATCGATTTAATTGGGTGCAGTCACAATAAAATGAGCATAAATCATTATCTAGAGTTAATAAAAATATGAGTTTTGGTGTGTTAATTTACTTGTTGGTTAACATAAAAACAAAAATGTTCTATGATGCAGAATATTCTAATTTTAATTTGGTATTTGAAAAGGTAAATTAGCAAAATACTGCTTTTTTTTGCATTTTTTTAACAAACATTCTGTAAGCAAAGTAGGTCAAAAAATAGTCAAAACTTGGATTTGAAAATTTTTGGTGTTATAAAACACTTAAATACTGACTTTAGTGACTTTTCTAACTTTTCAAAGTTAAAAAACTAACTCTTTGACTGATGTTTACGACCTTCTTGCCTAAAGTGCTTTCTGTCTTTTACTTACCTTCCTCTTTCCTCCTGGCGCTAGATCTGAACTCATTTTGCGAAAGCAAGCTAGTGGACCAATTTTCATGGTTGATAATTCATTTTGAACAAATTGTCAAGTGCGTTTTATAACTGTATCAACATTAAAATTGGACTATTGTGATTGGGTCTGATATTTTGGAGTGTAAAATCTCAAAAAAAGTTGATGAAACTCATGACAGACCAAACCTGGTTTTCCCATTGTTAGTTTTATATGAAATGTTTTTTTTTTCACTGAATTATTCATATAATTAGGCATTTTATACGGTGGGGTGGTGTATGGCCAAAAAAAGCTCTAACATATTTGAAATTTAATCTTGAAATGAAATGGACCCCCTTGACCATCCTCCTACATCTCTGATCTATCACCCTGTGTTTTCAACTATTTAGGTAACTCTCATGCTAAATAACCATCCCATCCCCTTCTGCTCTTCATTTAAAAACCTAGGAGTAGTCTTTGACCAAAACCTTTCCTGGCATTCTCACATTTCCCAAATTTCTCGCCATTCCATTGCCTCCCTCAGCCTGTTTCGTCGGTCCTGGCTTCTTTACCTTTCTCCACCCGCAAACTCCTTGTATCTTCCCTTATACTTCCTTTCTTCGATTATAGCTGTTTGGCAAATGGTGGTCTCTCAGAGGGGGAGTATGAATTATTGCGTAAGATTTGTGTACAGCACCCCATGGAGATCCCGGGTGTCGGGTTGTATTCCCAACTTTCCTGGCTATTCCCCTCCTCCCATGCACAGTATTTCCTAGGTTGCTTTCTTTTCCAGACCATCCACACTCGTCGTCCTCCTTACATCATCCAATCCCTCCAATTCAACTCCTCACATCTCACTAGTAAGACCCGCTCATCCCCAATCGACCTTATCCTTCCGCAACATACAACCCATACGTTTGAAAGATCCTTTCTGATCTAAGCCCCTAAACTCTGGAACTCCCTTCCCCTTTCTATTCATCACGCTGCCTCCTTTTCCTCCTTTAAATCCCACCTCTATAATCACCTCCTCTCCCTCCAAGCAGAGACCTCACGCTAACATTTGTTATTTTTGTTTAATATTCTCGTAATTTTTTCTTCTGTCCTGCCTAATTTTATTGGTATACATTGTGCCAAGATTTCTATCTTTTTTTTACTTTTAACTTCATAGAAGGAACTTCCTTTACTTATTTCATGTAAATTATTCCTAGGGGAAACCAGTCCCAGAATAAAGTTATTTTTCTTCTTCTTAACTTTAAAAGCACCCTGAGTACAGGGATTATGAGATGTGTGGGTGGAGGCCTCTGAGCAATAGGTTCCTGGCACAACTTGTACTTTTGTACGTACATATAATGGAAATACATTTTTTCAATGCAGGCAGATTATCTTGAAAAATATAGATTGATGATTGTGTTACATCAAATTAAAAAAAAAAAAGAAAACAAAGAGATTTATATTTGTTTTTATCTTGTCAAATACACATATTGAAAATTTTAATCCTCTTCTTTTTCTTTAAGGGATTAATTTAGGTGAATTGAAATTAATTGTTTATTATAATTGTTTAATGATAATCAACGTGTTTCACACATTTTTTATAAGTTGAATTTGTGTACAAGTCTAAAAGAACCTTTTTAATAATTTAATTTTTATTGCACAATATTTTTCCCCATTGTACCGTGTAAGGTTAATATTGCACAATATTTTGCACTTTCCTACGATACCTGCAGCCAAATCTTGGCCTGAAATCTTGCAACACTAGGTCTTGCTCATGCGAAAACATTGACACTCATGTGCCATCAATATTATTGTGTAATTCAGAACTATTGCGCAATAAAAGTATTGTGCATTGTTATTGTAGGCATAGGGTCTGCCTTAAAGTAATTCCTCTCCTTGGGTGTCGAGGACAAGAGGTCAGAACTAGTTTACAATATTTTTTTCAAACTATTCTCAAATAAAAGTTCAATGGCTATGTCAGGAATCAAACTCAGAACGCTAGCATGGCAAATACAGGTGGACACCCTTAACTGCTTGATCACCGCAGCCCCCCAGCAGAGAATGCCCTCCTCAACACCTCTCCGTGTACTTTTGAAAATTACACCTTCATAGTACATTCTTTCCTCTCTTCCTTGCTTTGTCAGAGGCCCTGCATATTTTGTCTGGTTGAATAAAACCTTCCCATCCTTGCTCTGTTCAGAAGATCCTTTTTTACCCCTGTCACTTTCTCTATTCTAGACACACTCCGTTACCATTGCTAGGCTTTTAGAACCTAGGTCAACACACTACCACAATCTGTTAAGCATGTGAGACAACTCACCCCCTTCTGTTGCTTTTGGGGTAAAAGGAAGAGCAACTAGTGATCGGGGGACCACAGTATCTGTGGTGACTAAAAGAACCTTTTTGTTTGTTTTTCAGGTGCCTGTTAAGTTTAATTTTAAAATAAAACTAGATCACACAAACATCTGTAAAGAATGGTTAAGCATAGAACCATTTATTGGAGACATAAATCCAGGTAGTATGATTTAATTTAATTTTATTATGATGTGATTTTAACTCGTATTTTTATCTGTATATTTTAGGCGAAAAATGTGATATTAAATTAGAAATACTTGTAGACAAAAGAAGTGCTAGTAAAATAAATTCAGGGAAGGAAAAACTCGAAGATATCCTTGTGCTTCACTTTGACGGCGGGAAAGATATTTTTATAACCGTAACTGGTAAAGGATTACAAAAACTGTTTATATATATTAAAAATACATTTTCAAAATTGTTTTCAGGTGAATATCATAGGAGCTGTTTTGGATCTTCTTTAGAGACATTGGCTAATTTGGTCGTCCCGATTAATGAAGTCCCACCGGAAAAGTTGGCAGAAATGGTCTGTGGCTTGAATAAGTACCATTATGCAAAATTACAAATTAACTCTTTTTTCCCCAGGAAAATAACCGAATGGCCTACGGGCACGGTTTCAACTCCGAGCATCAGATCCCGAAGGAAATTTGGTTTCTGATCGACCACCTTCATCGATACGGGATGAAACAACCGTTACTCTTTATAAACGCAGGCTTGAAATCAGAGTTCGAAGGGATTCGGACCTGGCTTGACAACTGGTCATTAGAACCACTCCGTATCCTTACTTAAAATTTTTAATACTTTTGCTAGATACAATGCTAACCATTTGGCCATGTCATTTTACAGTGTATTTATTTTGCTCTTTTACCTTTTTCAAAAAACTTTTACCTTTGGAAATTACCTTTACAACAATTTCTTTTTTACATCGATCATTTTGCATCTTACTTTTCCAATGTCTTTACACCTCATTCCTATTGTAAGGTCATCAGGGTGAAGCAATCTTAAATATGTCTACAGTTTGACATATTTAATTTTTTTTTTTTTAAAGGCAATCTCAAATTTCCTTAAAGGCCGACTCATTTCTAACGTTTTATAGTCTGGCCAAGATGTACAATAAATTTATAAAAACATTTTTCCTTATTAAATATAACAGCCGGTAGCGTGTACTCTGTCGCTGAATCCCTGCTGCTGTTGCTAGAATCGACAGCCGAGCCAGTTATCCCGTACGAATTGCACGCCAAATGCCTCGACGCGTCCTCCAACTACACTCAGTGCAAACAGGTAAATTAATCTTTGCGGCTACGATAATTTTTTAAATGACGATCTTTCGCTTTTCTAGATCGTTCAACAGTTGCCGGTGATTAGCCAGAAGGTTTTCATCTACATTTGCTTATTCCTTAGGGAACTCATATACCATTCGGATGACAACGGTTTGGACATTAAAACAATTTGTAAGTGGAATGTATTTATATATAAAAAACAGATTTTACTGATCTAGCAGGAAAAAGGCTTGTGTGATCAACATTTACACTTTTTTCCATGATATTAAGTCAAAAAGTACTAGGCACATGTTCATTCTTGCCAAGGAGTTGAGAAAAAAAAAAGATACAAACACTAGACTTAATCTCAACTTATCAAGGAATATTTAAACTCCCTTATTCCATATTATTCCATAATCTCTCCCTCTTAAAGCTTTTTCACCTTCTGATGTTCATTCTACCATAAATCTTATCAAATAAAAAAAAGCTCTAGGTTTTGACCTTGTTTCTCCTAAAATCCTCCAACACCTATCTAAAAAAAGCCATAATATTCATTATGTTCCTCGTACAACATACTTTCCTATAGCATGGAAACACTTGTATTGGGGGGACCGGTTGTTATGCCTATGTCAATATTCGTTTGTTATTTATCGGCTCATTGTGTACTTCAAAGTCGTACAAAGACATTTTAAGGTTGTTTACTCGTAAAATAATTAATTTGTGATTTATAGTGATATGGCCATCCAAATACCAGAATAGGTACATATCCGGCATTGTATGCTATAGAGCAGTGGTTCCCAAACTTTTTTGACCCATGGAACCCTTTTTATAGCCAAAAATTGCCCAAGAACCTCCAAATGAAAAAGCCACATAAATGCATAATATAAAAATTACAAAAAAAAAGTTTTGTTGAAGAAGTATTTTTGAAATTATAAATTATAAATATCTATAAACTATAATATTAATTACTTTTGTTTAAAATAAAATATAAAAAATTAATGATTTGGATGAACGTGATGAGATGTTATGAGTGTATAATTTCTAATCGGTTTCTTTCTTTTGTGATGAGGTTCATAATGGCACTGAATCCACGTTCTACCAAATAGAAAGACGGGAAAGCAGTTAACAACTTCTGTACAGTAACCCATAATGCAGGATATAAAATTGGGATCTGTTTTTGTAACCAGAATTTTTGGTATCTTTGTTGAAACATTGGTTTAAGTTCCTCATTTGTGGATATTTCAATAAGCTGCTCCTGTATTAGTATGGATTCATCTATGTTTGGGATCTGAGTTTGTCCACGCGCAAAAGGGTTCAACACAAAGTCGGGAATATCCAAGTGAAGAATATCTTCAAATCTTTGGTTCAGGTCTGTATGAAGAGCCGTTAAGTGTTGACAGTAAGCAAACAACTCTTCATCTCTTAATTTGCAATTTCGAAAGATTTGGAAATTGAGAGCATTCTTCTCTTCCCATGTTTTGTTTGTAAAGAAAAAGTTTTGCAACAAATTTGTACGCTTTTAGTTTTGATTAAATTTAATTGGTCACCTTGTAGTTTCAAATTAGTTTCGTTAAATTTGGCAAATAAATCAGACATATAGGCTATGTCATTTTTTGAGTTAATTAAATTATGTCGCAAATCATTGTCTTTAGTTTCCAGGAATTCCAATACTGAATCAAATCGTTTAAACATGCACTTTTAGATAACCAACGTACTTCTGTTTTATATATTATCTTATATTATTGTTTATATTATATTATTTTATATTAAACCTTGCGCGGACCCCCTGACATTGTTCAGAGACCCCCAAATCAATTTTAATTTTCCACGGACCTCCTGAATGATACCAGGGACCCCTGGGGGTCCATAGGGACTACCTTGGGATCCACTGCTATAGAGTTTCACTAGGGTAGAAAACGCAACAGTTGCTACCAAAAACATTTGCGTTTTTCCAAGAGCATTAAGCATACGTAAATGCCAAAGTTGGTTTTCTAAGCTCAATTCTGGAATTTTGATATTTTCGACATGTATCGATCAGGAAGATGTGACAGTCAGTTTCAATTATACCATTGATTTTTCTTTTTGAAATGTATAGAGAAGACTATCCACTAAAAATTGCCTTTATATATGCGCCCAACTATGAAGGCTTGTTAAAACTAAAATATAAAATCATAAAAGAAAAGGGGAATGTATAATAAAATAAAATGTAATAACGGAATTAGAAATGAAATTAAAAATATACTCCTTTAAGTAAAAGAAAAAATGTATTTATTTTTTAAACAAAATTTTTAACTTCGGTGAAAAAATTATATTTTGAAATTACTGGCTTTGACAAAAATCAAGGTTAAAATGCATCGTTCAAAAGGCACAGTTGTTACCACTTATTAGCTGGACCTCTGATTGGCATATATTTCGAAAACGCCTCACGTCGGCTGATTTATCCTGTATATCTCCTCTTTCTTCCACGCCGCCTCCGGCCCCACATCGCACCCCTTTCTCAGGGCGAGACGATTCCCAAAAAATGGATAATAACTGCCATAGGGAAAATCCAATTTCAAAATTTGGCGAAATCATCGCAAAGATCAACACTTAAGACGTTATGTGGAATAGAAGTGAAAATCCATGTCAGACAATTGAGGACTGTCAAACACTTTTAACCAACATTAGTTGACCAACCAAGACATCTGCAGCAGATTGGTAAAATAAGCAGAGCAGGTGTTTGGTTCTCGTACAATCTATCCAAAGAGCTTCAGCGTCACAATTTTTGATCGCTTGATCACTGTAGATGAAAAATGGGTTCTCTACGATAATCTAAAACGCAAAAGGCAGTGGCTCTTATGAACAAATTGCCACACAGCTCAGCTAAGCCAGGTTACACCCCAAAAAGGGTGCTTTTGTGAGTTTGGTGAAGTATTAGTGAGGTCGTTCATTTTGAAGTGCTGAAACCTGGACAAACTGTGAATTGAAAAGTGCCCAGCGATTGTCAACATAAAAGGTGTTATTCTGCAACAAGATAGTGCAAGACCACCCTACTGTACGAGATAAACCCTGGAAAAAATTAATGAATTTGGGTAGGAAGTAGTGCCTCATCCCCATACTCGCCCAATATTGCGCCGTCTGATTTTCATTTATTTCAATCGTTACATTTTCTAAGTTACAAAAAATTTTAAAACTCGGATGATGCCCAAAATGCCATCTCTAGAGATTTTGCTCAAAAACCAATTGATTTTTATCGATCCAGCATTAAAAATTTGCAAAATTGGCAAAAGGTTGGTAATGACGAGTGTGATTATATCATTAATTAAAAATAAGATGTTAAAGTTTATTTGTTTGAATTTAATGTAAAAAAACATTACTTTCCAGTCCCCCCCTAATATTTGAGCCGTTGTATGCAAGAGTGGTGTAAGTCAAAAAATCACTTTATGGGCAGTTTTGTAAATTTTAAGCTAGTGAATAAATTAAATTAGTTTTTTTTTTTTTTTTTTTTTTTTTTTGACAATTCAGTATGTTTATAACTATTTAGGCACTTTTCAGTTGTAATAATTTAGATATGTATAAATTATTCCATTAGAAATTGACTTATACTCTTATTAATTCTTTTCTTATACTCTTGTTAATTCAAAACTTGATAATTCGAATTTCTTGATAATACGAACTCCTCAGCAGTTCACTTCAATAAATCGAAAAAATTCAGTGCATTTTGATACAGTCGGTAATATGAAATATTTTTCATAACTGGGAGAGAAAAACCATGCTCTTAATCGAAATGGAACCACTCCCCATTTTTATAATTTGCACTTTTTCTTTGTTATATTCCTTTAAATTTCCACATATTGTTTACTTCCTTACAGCATAAAGTTTCTAAGAAATTTCTCTAGTTTTTTATGTTTTGCGGTCAGCGTTTTGTCAATGTGTTCACTTTGTAAAATCATTTAAACAAAGGATGCCAGGCCACATTGATGTTTAACAATGTTCGATTTTACAGTTGATACATTTCCGCTTTTTCTTTATTTTTACTATGTTTTTATATGTACAATTTAAGTAATAACTTGGAAAAATGCATATCAACTCTTTAAATTTTTTTCTTTTCTCTTGATAATTCGAATTATTTTTATGCTCCCTTGGGTTTCAAATTATCAATAGTTGACTGTACCAATTTTGCAATAAACTTCCCTGTGAAAAATTATTTCACTACCCTGCATGTAATACAACTTTGATAAGTCGCTTATGTTAAAAAAAAAAGTGTAAACACAGGAAACATTGCAGCATCAAATAGGGGAAAAAAGGTGCATTGGTGGCTGCAACGGTTTAGACATTGGCACGGTGCTCATCACTATAAGGTAAAGGTTTGAATGCACGGCCACTGGGTGGGCTTAAAAATGGGCTTTTTTTTTCAAAAATATTGGCACCCCAAGGGTTCATACAACCTTGTTGAAATACCCTCATATTTTTTAAAAATTTATTTTTTCCACTCTTCTCTTTAATTTTGTATTTATTTCCTATCTCATTACTCGTCATCATCTCCGTAACTGCAAATTTAACCAAAATCTGTGGTGAGTGATGAAGAAAAATAGCTTAAACTATTTTTTCAATCAGAAACAAGTTGATATTCATTTTCTGTACCCTAAAAAATCCCGGAATACAAATTTTTGGGAAAATCAGAAAAAAAAAAAGATAGATGCACTTAAGACAAAAGTCTTGTAGGCATGGGTTCTCAATAACTTAGGGATTTATTAACATGTTTGTGATTTATAAAGATTCTCCCAAGATAGGCATAGATTTTGATAATTTTTTTTTTTTAATTAAAAAAATTCCAAAAGGTCAAATTGAAAAACGGCATTTACAGTAATGTTGCAAAAGCGATACCAAAGGCCTGGGTCACTGATTCGATTTCAAAAATACCCCAACACTCTACGAGCAAGGGATTTTCTAAAAGAGGTGTCGTTCTGGACGTCCCTGTACAGGGAAGGGTTTAGTGCGTCATTCCAGAATGAACAAATGTGTTAATTAATTGTTTTGGATGTAAGTTCAGCTGCTCTGTTACAAGTTCACAAGATATCTTCGCTGCATCTTTCACCAACTGCAAGGCTTTATTATGCACATTTTCCAGATATTTTAGGGTGGAATTGGATAACTAATAGAAAAAGAACAGAACAAAAAATCGGCTGATAAATATTAATTGTAGAAAACTAAGTTTAAAATAAAATACTTACATTTTCTTTTCTCAGCTCGTAGGATCCATTGGCAAGAATGCTGGGATGTATCTAATTAAAAAAAAAAAAAAGAAAAAGAAGAAGGTCACTAAAATTGGTCCCATGTCTGTAGTCTCTCCTCATGAGGCGTGAAAATCCATTAAATATCGTCTAGTTGAAAACTAATTCGTTTCTTTTTAAAAACTTTTCAGCTACACTTTTTGGCGGGATTTTCCTGAGGGATCTGGGTTTGAAGAACAGGGATCAGATGAGTAAATCTTGGTTCTCCCAGCAGAGCGCCCAGGACAAGAAGAAGTCAACGTTCGTCTCGCACTTTTTGGTGAACGACGACCCAAACCTATACCAGCTAGTCGCCGGTGTATGATCGCCGCGTGTAACCGTTCCTTTTGAATTTCTCCGACCGAACCCTCACACCCTAGATAAGAAGCCTTATAAATATAAAACCGCTGTATATATATTTATTAATTGTTGTGTTAAGAGTTTTGATTTTTAAATTATTTATCTTATTATTTAGAAGTGTTATAAAAAAAAGCTAGAACTAGATACGGCCTAGATATATTTTATCAGTATTCAAGAATGATTAACCTTATAATCGTAATAATCCCACCAAAGACAGTATGAGCTGTACAGTACTTAAATATTAATTTCTTTTTTTTGTTTTAAAATGCTAATGAATTGATCAAAATTTTTCAAATCGGCAGGTATAGTAAACATCAAAATACCATGTTTTGAGGTGGTACAAGTTAGTTTAAACAAATAAAATAAAAATAACTGGTAAGAAATGTGGAAATATAAGTACTTTTCTATTATTTACTGATGTAATTTTATTTTTCTCTTTGCCCAACAAGCAAATTATTTTCCTCTATCAAATAATTGGTGTTGTTGTAAAATGTCGATATCCTCTTTTCATTCCCGAATTGGTGTCATTTCTCATATAGAGTGCCATTCCTATATGCTCTTATATAGAGCCAAGAGACAATAAGTGGAACACATTGAGCAGCTTTTCTCTGCAAGCTGGAAAAATACGTGGACTTTGGACCTAAAGTGTCAACCATGTGTTGCTGATTCCGAATCGGGTCTTGATGTTCCTTCTGCCGTTTGGATTCTCTTTAGGCCACGAATTGACCTTATTATGCAAGAGCTGAAAAATCGATTGAGTTCACTGCCAAATTTTCTTATTCTTTAAACCTTGTAATGTCTGAAGATGGGGTACCGGTGTCAGACTTACAGCTAGTAGATCCCACAGTCGTGGGTTCGATTCCCACCACCACTTTTTTTCGCCTAGGGTACCATTCTGGAGCAAAATAGAATCTCAGTGACCCCGAATTTGAACCGGACCCCCCCCCTTTGAAAATTAGTTTCTTTGATGGAAGAACAGTGGCACACCGAGGACTCATATGTGTTGCAGGCTACCAAAAAATGGAGGAAGGTAAGTTTGCTACAAACATAAACATTCTTGAATTGACTATCCTGAACATAAAAAATTAGAACAATCAATTAGTAATTATTCAGAAAACGTGAGATGCGGTCTGGTGTGATGTAGGTTTCAGAAAAACATTTTCTTTATCGTGCCAACGTTTCAATCTTTATTGAGATCATCTTCAGGGCCTGGGTATCATCAACTGCTTAAACTATCCGGCAACTTACATCGTTCTTACATCCTCTGGGCAAGAGAGTAAAGCAATATATCTATGATGGCAAAAATCCCAAACTGTTCCGCATCTCACGATTTCTGAATAATTATCGATTAACGGTCACTAATCACCACACACAATAAATTAGGTTTGAAAGTACCGTAATTGAGAAAAAATCCTGATTAAAATTGGAACTTTTGTCAAATTATGATAACTTTTAAAATACTACTTGGATTCATCATGAGCTACTACGAGGGAGTGAAGTTAAACAAACCGAGCTGTTGTGCGGGTTAAAACGTAAAAATGGCAAAGATTTTGATTGAATTTTTTATTTTAATCGGCAATAACTCAGCGACCCCTAGTGCATTGGCCGAAAAACAATCCCAACCGTACTTATAGGATTTGTTATCACCTTTCCAAATTTCATTGGTATGTGACCGCTAGATTTTTGAAAGAATTCTACCTAAAATTAAACATCAACATGATATCAAATTGAGCAATCCAAGTATCGAACTGGGAGAAAAAAAGCCAAAGCGTGATATATAATATGGCTTATATTATACATTTTTAAACCCAATAAAACAGAAAAAAAAGTTTTCCTGCAATGGAACTTTGACTTGTAAATGAAATTTTTACCCGAGGGGTAGAAGAAACGCACAAAGAGCATTTTCTTTATACGTGGACCTTATTTGAAATTGAAAAATAAAGTAAATAATCTAAAAATAATTTATTTCTGAACAGATGTATTTCCTAATAGTTTAAACACCTATTGCAAAGAAAAAGATAAAGCAAAAACTATTATCAGAGTTTATTTAGTGCACTTAAATACTTTACATCTGTACAACTGAATTTAACATCTAAAATGGATAACACAGTAAAAATCTTCATGTTTCTAATGAATCTGCTACACAGTTTATGCTAAAATAAATTATTTATGAATAAACTGCAATATTAGATTATGTATTACTGATTGGAGGAAAATAAAGTAATTTTCTTAAATTGTTAATAATTTTTTTTTAAGCTTTATCTTTATCGAAGTACTTAGATTCCTTTTGTTTTCTAGCGGCTTGAATGCACTTAGCCATGATCGATGAAGCCCTGCTGATCGGATCGGTCATGAAAAAGTCCTCGAGTTCTTTCTGCCTGACGTCCAAAGGCGTGTTGGCCATTTGCTTCTTTACCGACTGAAACAATGATTTGTATTAGTTCATCTATTGTAAAAATATGAGAAAAAAAATTTGAGGGTGTAGAAATGCGATGACCAAATAGGAGAAAGTTCTTGTAAATTATGGACTTTTGGATCAAGCTAAATGTAAATTACCATTAATTAAGGTTTTTAGTTGAGATAAAAAAGTCAATGGCACAAGCGGGATTCGAACCCATGATGTTCGGCTAGATACGCCGCTGCTCTACCATTTGAGCTATCATGACCTCGATCCACTCGGACACTAACTTCCCATCTCAACCCCACCTTTTGAATTTTCCCTCCTTTTTGCCATTTTTCAAATGTCGTGTAATTAAAAAACTTAATTAATTGAATGGTATTAATTGGTCAAGCGGACCCTGAAAAATAGTGATTTAAATTAATATTAAAAAAACTAGTAAAAATTTAAAAGTAAAATTGATCTATACAGAGTATTTTTCTAATCGTGTTACAAACTTTGCCATTAAATTCTGCATTTTAAATGGAACCAAAAGCCCTAATTAACTATGGTTTTAATCTCAACAGTTTCAGAGTTATTCCCTTTTTTTCTGATTTTTGCTTGCTTAAAAAAAACAATGGTAACTCCAAAACTAAAATGTTTCGGACAGATCCGTTGATACCACTGAAAACTACTTTAAATTTTCAACAAGATTCTATAAATAATAAACTTGTAAACGTTGGTGAAATAAGCATTTTAATAGCCAGAACTTTGAAAAATGTTTTTAATTTCAAAATTGATAAACTTAATATAGTAATTTTAAACGACTATTTCCAAACCTAGAGGCCAGCAAATTTCAAAAAACGTACTCCATTTAATATCTTTTTTAGTGGTGTAATTGCTTTTTCAAGGACTTTTTTCAAACACGAAGAAATTGATGAAGGAAAGGAAAAAATAGTGATTGACGGATTGGTGAGGTGGAAAGATTAAAAAATAAAAAACTTAAGGAAATTTTAATTGAATGAACTTTTGAATCATAAAATTCTTTTATTTCGGGGAATAATAATACAATAATCCTATAATCAAAGTTGCACTCGTGTTGGTAAATAAATAAATATTGCACTATTTCGGTTTTTTAAATATTTTTTTATTTTTTAATCTTTCCACCTCACCAATCCTTCAAACACTGTTTTTTCCTTTCCTTCGTCAATTTCTTCGTCTTTGAAAAAAGTAAATGAAAAAGCAATTACACCACTAAAAAGGATATTAAATGGAGTACGTTTTCTGAAATTTGCTGGTCTCTAGGTTCGGAAATAGTAGTTTTCAAATTTAAAAGGTGGGGTTGAGATGGGAAGTTAGTGTCCAAGTGGATCAAGGTCACGATAGCTCAAGTGGTAGAGCAGCGGTGTTAGCGTATCTACCCGAAGATCGTGGGTTCGAATCCCGCTCGTGCCATTTACTTTTTTATCTCAACTAAAAACCTTAATTAATTGAAATATATTAATTGGTCAAGCGAACCACGAAATTAGTGAATTTACTAAATGTAAATGTGAGATTGTGTCAACCAGATGAGCGCAGAGGACGGGGGTCTTGATAGCAGTAAAGAATGATCTATTGTGCTTCCCTGTTTTTTTATAACTCATTGGCCAGCTTCAGGTAGTAAATCAGCGTCCGTAGCTTTGCCAGCGGCTCCTTAGTGTAGGATCTTGCTTGCGATTTTTCTTGTACTAGTTGCAAGAATCTGCATCTACACAGAAACCCAGAATGTGTTCTGCGGTCTCCTGCTCTTCCTGGCAGTATCTGCACAGTATTTGTTCTGTTTGTACTCCTTTCCAGTGCATGTGCTTTCTTAACTGGCAGTGTCAGAAGCCCAACCAGAATCTTGATTGTGGTTGCCTTCCTGTATTCCATTGTAAATTTTGTGGATGGCCCTTCTATGAAACTCTTTGCGTACCTCATATCTTTACCAATATCTGTGGTATAGGTTTTGGACTCATTAAGGATCCATTTTAAAATGTATACTCTTTTGTGGCTGGCTGCTATGCCACAGGTGAGTTCAGGACCCAGAGAGCCCATGTTGGCTCCCTTTTTTGCCAACATGTCAACCTTTTCATTGCCTCTGTAAGCCGGTCCCGTCTTAGGGAACAAAGGTTGTAAATCTGAAGTGGCAATCACCCAGACGGAATGACGTGACGTCCCCCTCAAATCTGGCAAACATAACTTTGAAATAATTACACCGTTGGACAAATAGGTAAGAACATCAAAGGGTGTCGCAGACCCAGACTGGAACCAAATCATGTTTCCCACGAACCTGGAGAACATACAGTTGCAATAGTTGGACAACCGATCAAATAAATAACTATCTAGTTATTTAGTGCTGAAGGGTTGTCACACGATCAAAAATATGTAGCGATGTGGGATATCGTAAATTGGGGTCGCATCAACCATGTGCACGACACCCGTCTTCACTGGTTCACCCACGACATGGGAACTCCCTCGACTTTTGATTTTCCTTTCCACCCCTACTCCAGTAGAGAAACTGGTATAAAAGGGTTGACTGGGAAATCAAGTCAGTCAAAACTGGAGACTCACCCTCAGGTGATTGATAAGATTCTGTTGTTTGGGCACAGTTAAGACGGAATTTGTTCCAATAAATGTTAAGGAATATACTCTCTGTTTTATTGAATTCTAGAACTTTTCCTTCCCCTTCACAAGAATAAATGGCAACGTGCTTATGCCAACTCCTCTCTTGTCGCTTAAAGAAAAGCAAGCGAATATTGAGAGATGAGGCCGCCATGCTGTCATCTGCTTACACCTCTATGCCCCGAATGTCCAGGGACACATGCCAGGGTCAGGTCATTAGTGTCACTGACTTCCATGCAGTTCTAAACACTCTTTGCCTTCGCCTCGCATGAGGCTAGGGCCCTGAGTGCTACCTGACTTCAGAGAAAATGGCTATCTTCCGGAAATGCATCCCTAGCCTTTTTTTTCCTCTGGGCATTGTTCAATCGCTATGATTTCAGACTAAAAAAACTGTAGCACATCAACCTAGCTTTACTGTCAGTTCGGTCTTTGGGTTCAACCAAAATAAGCAAATTTTAAAATCTGTGGGGGTTAGCCGGGCGAAATTTCCAAAACCTGAATTATCTTCTTATTGTAATTTTTCAAGAAAAGTCAATCCAAATGTAGGTCTGCTAAATCGTTCCTTGCCCACCAACATTTACAATTAATTTTCCTTTTTTTGTTCAAAAATTTAAACTGCAAGCAGGAAAGCCGCAGCTATTTCACTCGTCATGTTATCGTGGAAACTAGTTCAACTGAGCAGTGCAGGTGTGTACTCAACAATTTGCCTATAGACAGTCGTGTGATTGTAAGCAAATGTTGTGATGTAATGGGCTAGATACCCACGACACAGGTGGGGGGCTCGGCCAATGGGAAGATCACCGAGGCAGTGGGAGCGAGGAAAAAGTAGGTGCACCTGGACCTAGAAGATGAGGGGAAAAGAAGTAGAAAGACTTATATTATTAAAAATTAGTGAGCGAAGGATTGGACAAACGAGCCATTTTAAATTTGTAAATATAGTTTGTTTTGGTGTGAGGGTGATGTATCCTTTTCTGTTTTTTAAAATTTTATTTCCTTATTATTTTGTCCACTCTATTCCACCGCCCGATTTGAAAACTTCTCGATATCCCAAGATCTAGTACACCATGGGAAGTAGAACAATTTCTTAGAGTAGAGAATTTTTTTGGAAGATTCTTTCCCGATTTTTAGAAAATAGCAAAACCAATGATCGATCTAAGAAAGAAAAATGCGAACTTAGTTTGGTCACCGCAAGCAGAAAATGCGACATTCTAAAGAAGAATAACACAACCATGCTCTGCTACCAGTTTTATCACCCTCCCACCCCTTTGCTTTTAAGTGGGGGTGTAGAATAGAGAGTGGAAAAATAATAAGGAATACAATTAAAAAAAAAAAAAAAAAAATTAAAAAAAAAATGTTTGAACGATGACATCATTTTTTACCTTATAAATTGTATGTTGTAATAAAGGAATTTGAATCTTATCTCTGATTTTGAATTTTTTAAATTGTACATTCCTTCCACATAAAAAAATAAACAAATGCGCTAAATGTCTACGCATCGTTTAGTGAAAGCAATATTGAGCATCTACGCCGCTTACAAAATTTATTAAACAAAAAGAAAAGAATATCGATAGAGAAATTACCTGAGAGAGTTCAGCAGCCTGTGCAAAAAAATTTGCCTCCTGAGCATCACCATATCTTGTTAAATTAGGCGACACTTCATCCAGCCTAGCCCGGACTTCATTCAAGTTGTCATAGGGCAACCTTTTTCCTAGGACTTCTGAGAGGGCCCTTAAGATTTTCCAGTCCTCCCGCGCCATGCCAGGCGGTGTGACGGCGACGAGAGTCTGCTGTGCCCTGCCTTCTGTGTTGACATAGGACGCCTGCTTTTCCGTGTATGCCGCACCTGGTAAAACGATATCCGCCATTGCGGCACCGACATCGCCGTGGTGGCCTTGGTATATTACAACGGTATCTGGCGGTAAATCAGAACGGCTGATGGTTCCCTCATCCGCACCGAGCAAGAATAACACCTTGGGCGGGTTTTCCCTGACAGCAGCCACCCCGGCTTTATAGCCGAGGTCCAGTGCGGCCACCTGCGAGGCTACGTTTTGAAGAATGTTCAACACTTTCCACTGTTCCTGTCCCTGAACGAAAAATAAGAAATATAGTCTTGTTAATGTAATAATGTAGATTTATGAAAAAAATATTACTTCCGCTTGTGAAGACAAACGTTTTGCCAGCTGTTGGGTCTGGCCGAGGAGAGCACCTCCGTCTTCTCTTGCCAGCTGTTGCGCCCCAAGGACGATCATAGGCTTCTTGGCCTGGAGTAGCTTCTGACTATAAGGGTGAGTCCCTTCGACAAGTTCGTTTATAATTGTAGGAGCATCACCCAAGTGCTTAAAAAAATTAATAAAAATAAATATATTTGCGATTTTAATAAATAACACAAGAGAAAAGTGGTCAAAACTATAAAATTTGAAATACAGTTGAACTTAAATACCCCTTTCCCCCCAAAAAAAAGTAAGATACCGTTCTAATCCTGGAGAGAGGAGAGGAGAGCCATAGAATGGAAGGCCCAAGTTAGGAACAAAGTTGTCCAATATAAAAGGTGGGTTGGATTTGTACGAGAAAATTTGAACTAAAAAAGAAAAAAAAATATAGGGGAAATGAAGCAGGGTGTGGAGCGCCAGGAGAAAGGAAAAGAGCGATAAAAGGGCAAAGACAGCAGACAAGTTGAGTCTGGTAGGATCAAAGCGATAGATGGAGAGGATGTCGGTGGTTTGTTCAATTTTCCTCCTTATGTGCAGCTCAAGGATTCATAGCTACAATGAGGAGGACGACTAAGGAAAGCATAGAAACGTGACAGGCGGATATCCCCAGTAAATAACAAAAGTCGAACAGTTCATCATGCTGAGGGATTCATCGACAAGGAACCAGGGAGCTGCTTAACGGAAAACTGAAAATTATGAGTTTTGCCCAGCCAAGAAGGTCATGACCGACCCTTGACAGTTGGCCATCTGGCCCAACGTTTCTGCCTTGGACAGTTAATGGGTTAGACAGATGGACATGGTCAACCAGAGCCAGGAGGACGACATCAACCATCCAAGGTAGTGATGAGTCGGATAGTGTCTAATGTTGAAAACTGGCCCAATGCAGGACAAATTGACTCTCGAGTGTCTCCAAAGTAGTAGAACTTGGTTGACAAGAGTCAGGAGGACAGTATATCAGCTATCCAAGACATAGACGAGTTGGATAGAGTCAACTGTTGAAGGATGGTCCAATCCAGGACGGATTGACCATCAAGTGTCTCCGGAAGTAGTGGACAGGATGGCCTCGGTTGACCAGAGCCAGGAGGACATGTCATCCACCATCCAAGGAGAGATCAGTAGGATAATCGACTGTCGAAGAATGGCCTAATGCAAGACGAATTGACTGTCGAGTGTCTCCAAAGTAGAAGACAGGATGAACTCGGTTGACTAGAGCCAGGAAGACATGACATCAACCATACAAGGTAATGATGAGTCGGATAGTGTCTAATGTCAGAAACTGACCCGATGCAGGAAAAATTCACTGTCGAGTGTCTCCAAGGTAGAAGACAGGACAAACTGTTGACCAGAGCCAGAAGGGCATATGTCAACCGTTCAAGACAGAGACGAGTCGGATAGTGGCTAGTGTCGAAAACTGGCCCCATGTGGGACAAATTGACTCTCGAGTGTCTCCAAAGTAGAAGACGGGATGAACTTTGTCGACCAGAGCCAGAAGGGCATATGTGAACTATTCAATATAGAGACGAGTTGGATAGTGACTAATGTCGAAAACTGGCTCCATGCGGGACAAATTGACTCTCGAGTGTCTCTAAAGTAGAAGACAGGATGAACTCGGTCAACCAGAGCCAGGAGAACATGAGATCAACCATCCAAGGTAGTGATGAGTCGGATAGTGTCTAATGTCAGAAACTGACCTGATGCAGGAAAAATTGACTCTCGAGTCTCCAAGGTAGACGATAGCTCAAACTTGGTTGACCAGAGTCTGGAGGAAATTACATCAGTATCCAAGACAGAGATGAGTTGGATAGAGTCAACTATCGAAGAGAGGCCTAATGCAGGAAGAATTGACTTTCGAATCTCAGAAGTAGTGGACAGGATGGGCCAGTGTAACAATAAATGTTTATGAATACTACCTGTCTGGTTTGATCTATTTTTGAGTGCCTGCTTATACTATACATGTTGCTAAAAAAAAAAAAAAAAGTAATACCTTATAATCGTAAGTAAGGTTGACTTTGGGGCCGATAAGAGCAACTTCGAGCTCGTTATGTACCCAACCCTTTCTGATTCTCGCGTTGAAAAGCGGTGCTTCAAACCTTGGGTTCGTGCCGACCAAGAGGACAAGGTCGGCCTCTTCAACTCTGGCGATTTTGTTGTTTAACAGGTAACTGGACCTGAGGTCTGTGCCAGAGCCCTCATCTGGAAAAGTGTATTCAGTGCACACGACTTCACTTCCTAGCTTATTCACCAAATCTTTCAATGCGACAAGCGATTCAGCATCACACAACCCTCCAGCAACTGCTGCCACTTTTTCACCACCATTTTTCAATGCCTGAAAATGTATTAATAATAAAAATTAATTAATAAATTTAAAAACAATACTGGATGCCAGGCTACTTGCGTCATAAACTTTGCCAGTGAATTTCACACCTCCAGTGACAAAAAAGTTCGCACTCTTTCGCATATATTCAATACTACATTTTTTTTTGCAATTATCTACGATTTTCGTCATAAATCTATTCCCAACGTTATCTTACAAGGGGGACGACCAGGTTGGTGGGTCACGGATTTGAACCAATCTTTTTTCTGGCGATTCTGCACTCCAAAATATCGTTCCTCCACTATTTGTGAATAAGTCCTTCATTTCGCAAAAAAAATTTTGAAAGTCGAAATTTTCCGTTTTTTAATATTTTTATTTTGCTGTTCTACCTGCTCGAATCGACTTGGTGAATAGTTTTACAACATTTTTATGTAGATTGCAGTAAAAATATGTAGTAAAGCTATCAAAGTTTACCAATAACGAAAATATTGTTTAAGTAAACATAGTATGTTTACTAAATTTTTTTCTGTGAAACTAATAAGAACCAATTAGAACATGTTCGTTATAAATAGACTTAATGGAATTCGTAATAAATTGATTCAATCAGGTTCGTGAAGCTTTTTCAAAATCTAATTTTAATAACGATTAATTGAGCATTTATGTTATTTAGCGATTAAAAAACATGATTTTTTGTGTTTTTCAATATTATTGTTGGTTAACATAAAAACAAAAAGTTTTGCAACGCAGAATATTCCAAATTGATCCAAAAAGATAAATATACTGCTTTTTTCCATATTTTAACAAACATTCTGCTTGCAAAGTTGGTTGAAAAATGGTCAAAATTTGGATTTGTCCTCATTGTTGTGATTATAAAACCCTTAGATACTAACTTATGCGGAAATCGATAATTTAAATTAAAAGTAAAAAAAAAATTAATTTTTTGAGTTCAATGACCTTCTTGCGTGAATGACATTCCTAGTGCGAGCTCTAAAATCACATTTTTCTCAAATCCTAGAAGACCGATTTTCATGGTTGATAATTATTTTTAAAGAAATTGCCAAGTGCATTTTATAACTGTATCATTAATTAAAATTGGACTATTATTTCCTTTTTAAAAACGAGGTTAGGTTTTGATAAATAATTCTGCTATTTTCTTGAAGAAATCTTTTATATATTTTTATTGTATATTTCAACTGGTGTGCTTGACTTTAAAATCCTTTTAGACGTTTTTGAATTATAGCCATTTCAATGTGATATTTCGATAATGACTTCACAACAATTGAAAAAATTTTAGGGGTCAAAACAATCAATAGATTTAAATTCAAACAAAAATTTATATTGAAGGGTCTTTAGAGGAGCTAAAACGTAATTTCATATTAGTTTTAAGAAAACAATTTGTATGACCTAGTTTATTTGAAAAAAAAAAAAAAAAAAAAAAAAAATTTTAAAGAAATTTTTTGGTTACTGATAAACTGATAGCTTTTACTATATTTTTACTGCAATCTACATAAAAAATGCTCTAAAATGATAGATATACTTACATTGTTGATTTGAGCAAGTAGATCGGTAAAATTAAAATATTAAAAAATGGTAAATTTCAAATTTTTTTTTGGCAAAACCAGAGCCCATTCACAAGTGGCGGATGATACACATCTGATATATTGCAGTGTAGAATCACGAAAACAAGTTTGGTCCAAATCCGCGACCCACCAACCTGGTCGTCCCTTTGTTAATAAAAGAGCACAGAAAGAAAGAAAAATGAAACAAAACGCGTTAAAAAGAGACGATAAAAATCGCAAACAACCAAAGCAGAAAAATTGGACAAAATATCTACACAAAACACAGACAAATGAAGAAAAAGAATAACATGTTGTAAAACCCAACTTTAATGTAATAAAAAAGCACAAAAAAGAAGAAAAATTTAATATAAAATCAAACAAAACAGAGAAAAAAGAAAAAACAAACATAGTGAACACCAAAGAAGAAAAATTATGTTGATTTTTTATTTTATTATTTTTTTTATTAGTTAAAGTTTGGTTTTAGAACTTCTATACCCATTTGTAAGTATGTTGGGTTTGAATGCAAGGCCACTTGATTCTAACCCAGGACCTTTACTAGGGACTTTAGGGATTACCTTTCAGTTATTAGTGCTGAAGCAATGCCTAAACTGTTGTATTTTTATTTTTATTTTTTTAATTTTAATTTTAAAAATATGAGTGTATATATATTCGGTCTAATTTTTTTGCTTTGTTGTTCGCTGTTTATTGCCCCTTTTTTATTGTTGTTTTGTTTCATTTTTTCTTTCTTTTTGTGCTTCTCTTTATTAAGTTTAAGTTGGGAAATAAATTTTGCCTAGGACAAAAAGTTGAATTACTACAATTCCCTGCTGCTTTTCACACTGCCACCACTTTTTTTCCATTTAACATAAAACATGCATTTTGGTTAGATGTAATTAAAGAAAAGTGTATACCACTAGAAATCTTATTAAACAAAGAAATTTTTATGAAATTTGCCAAGATCTACAGTGAATTTTTCCAATAAAGTTGAAATTTTTTTTTATAAATTTAAATTTAGCTGTTTTGAAAGTTTTTTTAAAACCAAAAATCAAAAATACCAAAAATTGTAAATTCCAGAAGGGTGCCTTCTTAAAAGAAATTGCTTGAAAATGCTCTTTAATTTTTTTTTTAAATTTTTATTTCCATCAAAAATGAATAGTTCAAGAACTATGAGTAAATTTATGATGAAAACCATAGATAGTGTGTGGTGATTAGTGACCATTAATTAATAATTATTCAGAATTCATGAGATGCGGTCTGGTGTGATGTTGGTGGCAATGTTGGCACGATAAAGAAAATGTTTTTCTGAAACCTACATCACACCAGACTGCATCTCACGATTTCTGAATAACTGTAGATAGTTTTAAAAAAAAGTTTAATATCTCCAAAAGGGTTGAGAACTGGACCATGATTCATAGGAACTTTTTGCCACTCTGGAGGTGTGAAATTCACTGACAAAGTATGTGATGCAAGTAGCCTGTCATCATATTTCATAAGAAATTAGGCTAAAAGATTCTCACCTTGGCAGTTGCGACGAGGGCATCTTCCCATTCGACAGGTAGGAGGTCACCTTGCGGCCCTTTAATCATCGGTGTTACTAATCTCTGCCTTTTCAAGCCGTCGTAAGAGAACCTAGCCTTGTCGGAAATCCACTCCTCGTTGATATCCTAAAATAGCAAGCCTTGAGAAAAACAAAACAAACTGGACATGGAATATAATCACCTCATTGACACGAGGCAAGACTCTCATGACCTCGCCCGTCCTCGTGCTGATAATGATATTCGAGCCAACGGCATCGAGTACGTCGACCGACTCTGTCTTTCTTGTTTCCCAAGGCCTGGCTGTGAACGCATACGGCTTTGAAGTCAACGCACCAACTGGACACAGATCGATCACATTTCCAGAGAGTTCTGATAAGAAAAACTTTTCTACGTAAGTTCCAACCTAAGAAAAATAACTGATTATTATCCGGCTATTTGATCATATATTTGCACTAGGTGGTACCTGCATGTCGGAACCCCTTCCGGTTGTACCAAGATCGTCGATACCGCAAATTTCTGATGCAAAACGAATACACCTTGTGCAGTGGATGCATCTTGTCATTATAGTTTTAATGAGTGGCCCAATATCTTTGTCCTCAACAGCCCTGAAAGACGAACAAATATAAAAAAACAGCCAAAAAGTTAAACAAATTGTAAAATACCTTTTCCCAGTGAATTCAATGTCAGTAAAGCGAGATCTGTCTGAACCGAAGGCCATGCTTTGGTCTTGAAGATCACACTCACCACCCTGATCGCAGATCGGACAGTCCAACGGGTGGTTGACGAGGAGGAATTCCATAACACCTTCCCTCGCCTTTCTCGTCATATCAGAATTAGTTTTGATTCTCCACCCTTTCATAACAGGCATTGCACAAGCCGCAACCGGCTAAAACAATAAACGCATATTTATATGTTAACATAAACATGCATCAAAAATAAGCATAGCACAACAGAAAATTTGAGAAAAGTATTTTCATTTAATTACAATTCTACAAGTGAAATTCTTGACAATTATATTATTCTTAACTTTCTACCCAACAGCATGTTTAAAAAAAAAAGAAAAGAAAAGAAAAGCACAATCCACTAACAAGCCAAATGATCAATAATATTGCACAATATTACAAGTTGCGCAATATTTTCGACTGTTTAGGGCTGGTATTAAAGTTTGCTCAATGAATGAACAAAAGTTTGAGCGGGTTTAATTTTTATTGCACTGTGAAGAGTTAATATTGTGCAATATTTTTTAGTCTGTCCAGCATACGAAGGGCAAGGACTTCTCGCAACAACATTGATCCTTATGGGCCTGTCAATATTATTGCGTGATAAATTGGGATCAAGATGTGGTTCACTACTATTGCACAATAAAAATATTATTGAGAACATATCATTGTGACTGTGAAGCATATTTTGGTCAACTGTTGCACTTTGCAACCCTTTAGGCAAAGGCTCAATCTTTCAAGTGATTTAAAGGAGTTACTGGGTCCCCAGTATTTGTTTCGAAGAGCACTTTTCAGCTTTCTAAAATTTATTGGAATTTATAATGAGATTTATACCTTTTCCCAAATTGTTATACCGTTGAATGTTTGTCTGCTAGTGTTTGAATGAGAGTTGTGCGTGCAAGATTTCTTTCTTTTTTTCAGGAATTTTTGAGCCTGCCGGAGTGAAATAGAAGAAAATACAAATTGCGGGGTAATAAACTACAATGCTCAAAATCGTAATTTAAATAAGAAAGATAGCTCAAATTGTCTAAAAAGGATAAAAGGGTTTTATTCGTGTAAGATATTATTAAATGTTATTACACAATATAAATGATTATGATTATTTGGAGATCGTGAGACAGGTTCAGAAAAACATTTTCTTTATCATGCCAACATTTCAATCTTTATTGACATCATCTTCAGGGACTAGGATCTTTAAACATTGTTTAAATTATACAAAATGTCTATATAACTTTATAAATCCCAGGCCTTGAAGATGATCTCAGTAATGATCAAAACGGTGGCATGATAAAGAAAATGTTTTTCTGTACCTACGTCACAACAGACCGCATCTCATGATTTTCAAATAATCATTAATTAACGGTCACTAAACACCATAGATAAATGATTATTGTGAACTTATGTCTACCAAAAACCTCAGCAAAAAAAAGTAGTGTCGGATCGGATCCGACCGTCGTTTATTTCATCTCAATCATAGTTGAGGGTTAATTAAACAGTTAAATAATTACTACTTTACCTTTGGAGACTTTTCGACTTCTACCAAACACATCCTGCAGTTTCCGGCGATGGCCAGACGTTCGTGATAGCAGAACCTCGGTATTTCCACGCCCACCATAGCCGCAGCCTGAATAAGTAAAAAAAAAATCACAACCGGATCGGTGAAATATCGACATGGTCATACCTGCAGTACAGTCGTTCCGGGTTCGACCATGACCTTCTTGTCATCGACGAAGACCTCAAACTTCTCCGGAGCCTTCGTGGCGGTGCAGCGCGTCCCTACACCGAGCACAGTCTTCGAAGCAGTCGGCACTGCCCTAGCAAGCGGTACTCGCAGCATTTCAACTCTTGTTTGCTAAAACCTGGAAGAATCCAACACTCAAATCAAACAAAACAAAAAGCCGACTTTTTTTAAGGTAAGTCTTATCAGGTCAGGATTTTTATATTTGACATATTGTGCTTTTTATAAATTTGATATTCTATGGACGTACTTTAGGATCTTTTTCTTCATAGGCAAACGAAAAAAAAGACCTTAAATGTTTTTAAAGGATAAACAGATTTTACTCAATTTTTTTTGAAATGTGAAAGCGAATTCTAAAATTGCCGATTAATTACCTTGTTTAAAATCCCATGGACAGAAAGGATTTACGTTTAAAAGCCGATCCGAAATCCAAAGAAGTCCAGGACTGCAAAGTGGTCGAATAATATTAAGAAATAAGAAAAGGTGATGAAAATAAAAAAGAGAACCAGTCCCTATCAGCTGTGCCCGAGAGTGCAGCACGTTCAATAAACTAATCCCGCTAGTTTTCCAAACGCGAAAAAAAAGATTTAAAACAAAAAATTGAAATAGAAATATTAACTTTATACGAAATTTAAAATTTTAATTTGTTCAAAATTGATTTTTCAATATAAATAGAAATAGGATGGACAAGGTTAAGGATGACGTATGAGGAGGTTACGCAATCGAGACAACCTGGGACACGGCGAAGCATAACCTCTCTTTTCGGACGAGTTCTCTTCCTCCCGAGTCTCTACCCGTGCGTGTCTCTTTTTCCCGTCCGACTCGAATTATTTTTTGAAAAATGACCGTCTCCGACCTGAAATCTGACAAAGGAGTCAAGGAGTTCGACACTTTCATCTCGGACAAAAGCTACGTCGAAGGGTACGTTATTATATTATTATAATATATTAATTTACCACTCTTTGATAGCCACGTGACCGCCTAGGCACTCAACACTTTTTTAAAATAAACTTCATTCTGCCTTGATCTAACCTGTTTCTACATTTTGTACCACAGTACACGCGATTAGATAATTTTGCTAAATATACACTAAAACATAATTTTACTGGCCGTTAATCCCATAGGGACATCTCTATGTGCCTAGACAAGTCCTACCATGGGGGGGCAATGAGGGAGGTAAATTCCCTTACCTTCCTATTCCTATCCTTTTCTTTCCTTAATTCCTTCCTTTCCCCCCTCCACTTAGGTGGAGGCTTCCTGGGTTACTGAACCCTCACCCCTCGGGTAACGGGTGAAAACAGTAGGGGGTCAACCCCTGGGTGGGCGATCAGTCTCATCTTAAAAATAATAGTGAACCATGGGTGAGGGTGATTCCAAATAGCCCCCAATTGAGGTTGGACTCATGGTGGTCGTGGTTTGGAAACAACTTGTACCTTAGCTGGGGGGTAACAGTCAACCGGAGCAGGAGGTAGAGCTACCCTTATCTACCTCTCCAGGGGGGGGGTGGCTGAAGATTGAAGCACTGGAAGCTACCAAACTCCTGGGTATGTTCCAGCATCTCTGGGCTTCCAGTAAGCCTAGCAATAGGCAGGTACAGGGCATAAACCCTTAGTCCAAAAGGACAAAGGGAAGACAGGGAAGTATGGCCGTTAACCAACATTTTGGTCTACCTACCCTCTCTGTTAGGTAGGGTTCATACCAGAGCGATGAGATGCATATCTTTAGGTCATAAGCGATATACAATAATTGTCTTGTAAGATATGCAACGCTCATGCCCATAAAAAACTTGTAGAAATTATAAAATTAGTTCATTGTACGATTACGACCTGCCGTAAGATGTATCATGGGACATGGCCTGCTTATCTTTTTCTTCAGTGGGTGGCTGGCTTGTGTCTTATCACTCTGGTATGAACCTCACTTAACGAGGTGCTGTTTATCTTACCTACCAAGGTACAGTTCACACCAGTGCGATAAGATGCACAATTTTTAGTCATAAGCATGGGAGCTGGAGTCTTCAGGATAAACCCAAAGACCGATCATACGGCAAACCTAGGTAAATAAGCTACAATTTTCCAGTTTGAACAATGCACCGAAGAAATAAAAAGGCTAGAAATACATTCCCGGGAAATATCCATCTTCTCTGACAGTTAAGCAGCATTTAAATGAAAAAATAAAGCGAGATGAAGGCACAGAGTGTTTGGCCCTGCATGGAGGTCCTGACGGAAGTCAGTGACCCTAATGACCTGACCCTGATATGGGTCCGTGGGCACACAGGGCATGGAGGCAACAAAAAGATTGGCATGTTGGTCAAAGAGGGGGGCCAACATGCAACTTGGACTCTGGGTCCGGAACCCTAGTTGCCAGGAGACTGAGTGCATATCACTCCAAAGTAGGAAGTATTCTTCGCCGCTTCTGGGTTTCACACTGGAAGGCCAGGACTGTCGGGTCATTTAGGTCTACAGATGAGAGAGATGATAGATTCATCCGTCATCAAGGCTGTACGAAACAGTAGCATTTCAGGTAATGATATTAATCTGATGACAAGTTGAAATGTTTCAATTTCATCCAGGACTGTAAGAAGAAGGCTCAAATCTCAATCAAAATAACCAATGGATCAAAATAACGATCTGGCATCCGACTCATGGACCTCTTCTTACTGCAGCTCAGAAAATGTCCAGGCTTTAGTTCGCACAGGAACATGTGAATTGGACATCAGAAGATTGGGGACGAGTTCTCTTTACAGTTGTGGTAAGAGTTGGCCTCAAATCTTCCTATGGGCGTAATTTTATATGGAGACGCTCAGGAGAAACGTATGCCCCATGCTGTATGGTTCCTCAGGTGCCATTCCACTGTGGGTCATTATGTGCTGGGTTTCCTCTCGTGTCCTCTCTGGGGTCTGCATGCCAGTGCTTGTCTGCCCTCACCAGCCGGCCCCTCTCTTCTCGAGTGCCTTGGTGGGCTTACCTCGCTGTCCTGTCCTCTGCTTCTTTACTGTCCAGGCATCACCAGCTTTCTGGTGGGCTCCTCAATTTCAAGCCCCCCCCTTTGCCCATGTTGTGAAATTTCTTTTTTATCATCTGTCTCATTGTCTCATTAAAATTAGTTGCTGTCTGTTAAAATAATCTTATTTGCTTGGTTATCAGTGCCAAACATACCAGTGATTATCTCATTGATGATAAACTCAAATCCAGTCTTAGTTAATCGTCCAGTTAGTTAAGGGACATAGTTAATATTTATAGTTGATTGTTTCTAGGTATGAAGCTTCACAGGCAGATCTTGCTGTTTTCGCTCAATTCAGCAAAGCGCCTCTCGATAACACTCCACATGCCAAGAGATGGTACAACCACATGAAATCATACTCCGAAGCAGAGAAAAAGAATCTTCCTGGTCAAAACAAGCTTCCATCTGGTTTTTCATCTAGCGGAGCTGCTCCTGCTAAGGCAAAGGATGACGACGATGATGATGATGTCGATCTCTTTGGATCTGACGATGAAGAGGTATCATTTTAATAAACATAGTAGTGAATAAAAATTTTTCCCCCAATTTTATTTTATAGTGCAACATTAAATTTATTTACTTATTTTTGAATAAAAAAAACAGTTAGCTATTTTATGGAGAATTTAATTTCTTGAAGGACGCAGAAGCAGCACGAGTTAGGGAAGAGAGACTGAAGGCTTATAACGAGAAGAAATCAAAGAAGCCGGCACTAATCGCCAAATCCAGCATCGTCCTCGAAGTCAAGCCTTGGGACGATGAAACCGACATGAAAGAAATGGAAAGGAACGTCAGGACAGTAGAGAAAGAAGGCCTCGTCTGGGGTGCATGTAAGCCGTTTTCCCCCCTTAAGTAGTTTGATTGTTTCTATTTAAATCTAATATGCTCGTTTTGTCCGTCAGCGAAACTCGTTCCAGTAGGTTATGGGATCAACAAACTACAAATCATGTGTGTCATCGAGGACGATAAAGTCTCAGTTGACGACTTAGTCGAGACAATCCAGGAGTTTGAAGATTTCGTTCAGTCTGTTGATATCGCAGCATTCAACAAAATCTAAGCTGCTTTTGAACTGAACCTAATATGATATTTGTTTATTTTTGTGATTAATTAAATAATAAAAAGTAATCTTTTTTTTCATTTACCTGTTTAGTAATAATGAATTTTCAAATCGTCCAAATTATATTCGGATACAATAGTTTCTTCTTTTGCCTATGATAACTAATTACATTAAAATTCTCAAAGTTCATAAGCGGACACCACTTGTAATGGATTTGGTCCACTTATTAGAAGGATGGAGAATATTTTTTATATTTCTCATGAACTTGTATCATTTGGACCTTTTTGTAACAGAAAACAGCATTCATCTATGAATTGGTTGTCACAATCACAATGAAAACTGACACGTAAGTACATTCTAATAAACAGACACTATAGATTTCTTAGAAGTCTTGTTACATACAGGCAGCAGAAAGAAAAACAACTCGGAATTACACAAAAGGCCTAATTCCTAGGCATTGTTCACATGAAAGTAGGCAGAAGAGAATAAACCGTTCGGAGAGACTTGACAGCGACTCACTGCCATCTCCCCAATTCTCTACGGATCCTCGGTGGTTATCAAAGAGGTAAATCGGTAAAACCACTCCTTCACTTCAAAATAGAAGAACTGGAAGAAAACCGAATGGAAGTCAGCCCTCAGTACAGTAAAACCAATTTAAACCGAAATCCAGGTTAACTGAAGTAATTTAAGAAAAAATGGTATTGCAAAATGTAGCTGATAATTACTGTATTGTGATATCGACTATTTAACCTTCATTCTAATAATTAAATCTAAACTAAATGAATACAGTTGTAAAGTGCTAAACTGCAAGATGAAGCTAGTTAATCATGAAAAAATTAATGAACTTCTCTGGTTTACATCTCAGCTACAGTACTTCATATTTGTTTGTAAATTACTTGGATCATTCGGTTTTAATTAGATGTTTTATTACGGCCTCCATGGTTTAAAAATTACATTATCCGAAACAGCCCTTCAGTTCAGTTAAAAAGGGTTCTATTCCAAATGCGAGAAAAAGTTTTGTCTTAAGAATATTGAAGAAAGGAGTTGTTGAATCACTTATGCTGTTTTTCTTCAACATGGACTAAGCTCGATTTTTTAGCAGGGTGAACTTTCTATAAGTGCTGATGCAAGTCATCATCCATTGTTCTAGCCTTCTAGCTAAGTGTTTTCTTCAAAAACCATCTTAGATTTCAATTAGGCACATATGTCTTTTTCTCTGTATACGCCTGAAGCTATGGATTGCTGTGGAGAATGGTCGGAATTTTGGGACAATGAACCGTCTGGGTCTATGACATTTTTATGGAAAAATTAAAATGACAAAGTTATAATAAGATGGAAGCCAACGCTCTCTGAACCATCTACTCTGTCTGGTTAACTTTGTCATCTTAATTTTTCCAGAAAATAGTCATAAACCAAGACGAGGGTTTATTGTCCCAAAATTCTGACATTGGTGGCTTCACTGAAATCACTCTCTCTTGCCAGAAATCTTGGATTTTTAACGATTATCATGGACGGTTCACATCATCCGTATTATTGATCTTGATAACTTGAAAACCCTGGATTCCAATTATATTTTAAATAAAAGAGGTACGTAAAAATTTAAAATATTAACTAATGAACACCATAGAAAAACTTATAAACTCTAATGCTTGAGACTTTTATACTTTTTTTTAGCACTGTGAAACTACATTGGTCATCACCGACCTTCTCTTTCTTCACTTTTCTTTTCCTATCCACGTCATTTTAATCCTGCTATTTTTTTTTCCTGTTTTCCACTAATTAGGTCAGTAACCGACTATATCATTTCTTTATCCTATTGCTAGCTACTCTGTACCTCAGGGCCTCTTCGAATGTGGGTAAAATAACAAAAATACATAAAAACCTAATTGAGGATTCATGTGAATTTCTGCCAGCAACCTTCAACTCTCTCATACTACCCATTCACGCTAATAAATACATTCACTCTCACTTCAAAATAAAACAGCCCTGTTTCCTGTAAGAATCGGAACAGGGTACCCAGACCCTGCTCAAGTACAATTTTCATATTGGTTAGCATTCCTACACGCTCTCTGTATGGAGCCAAGGCACTGTTCAATTAAAATGAGACACATTGAGTCTGCTGGACACAGGGCTTTTGCCCAAAATTAAGCGTCCTTGTGTCATCCTCGCATGGCCTATCCTTAATCGGGTGAGGATGAACCCTTTTCTTCCATGCTGTTTTGGTCTGTAAAACGCGTCCAAACTACAAAAAAAATGTTTTATTAAATAACTTGTTAACGAACCCGCACGACTGCTCGGTCTTGCATGGAACATTCGTCACGCCGCGTTTCCAATGGCCAGGCAGGGGAAAAAATTATAGGTTTTTAGTTGGTCCAATTAATCAAAATAATAACTTAAATTATTTTGCAAGGTATGGTTGAGTTGAAGAATTAGTGTCTCAGATAGGAGCTCCGGATGTCGTGGGTTCGAGGCCCATTCCTACTATTGGGTTGTCCGGAAAATAATGCAGGATTTTGGTATTAAACAAAAAAAAAGAAACTAGTTACTTTAAAGCAATGTTCTTTAATCAAAATAATTTCCCATACTCTCAATACATTTCTCCCAACGTGTTGGTAACTTATTAATTCCGTCTGAGTAGAATTCAGAATTTTTAGAATTGATAAAGTCAATAAATGCATTTTCCAGTTCCGTTTGATTTTTGAATATTATGTGTTGTAAGTAGTGGTCCAGGTGTCTAAAAAAATGGTAGTCAGTAGGCGAGAGGTCCGGAGAGTAGGGTGGGTGAGGCAAAGTTTCATAGCCAAGCTCCAATAATTTTTGTGACGTTACACGTGACACATGTGGTCGAGCGTTGTCATGCAACAAAATGGGCCCTTTCCGATTGACCAAAGAGGGCTTCATTACTGCCAATTTCTGATGCATGGTATTAATTTGGTTACAGTATGATTCAGCATTGATGGTTTCGCCAGGATTTAAGAAGCTGTAGTGTATTAAACCAAATGAAGCCCACCATACCGTAACCATTACCTTTTTTTGATGAGTTGGGGGCTTTGGAAAATGTATTGGAGCTTCTCCTTTGTCGAGCCACTGTCCAGAACGTCTAGTGTTATCGTAGAGAATCCACTTTTCGTCACATGTAACAATTCTGGCCAGAAATGGGTCATTTTTGTTTCGACAAAGAAGTGATGCACAAACATCAAAGCGCTGATTTTTTTGGCGATCGTTTAATGAGTGTGGAACCCAATTTTCGAGTTTTTTCACTTTTCCAATCGCCTTGAGGTGGTCAGCGACGGTCGTTTTACTGACTTTGAGTTGCTCTGCAAGTTCTCGAACAGTTGTTTTGGGGTTTTCTTCCACCACTGATCGCAGAACATCATCATTAAGAGAGGAAGGCCTTCCACGACCTTCTTCATCTTCAAGGCTGAAATCTCCCTCCCGAAATTTTTTAAACCACCTTTGCACAGTGCACTCATTAACACAACCCTCGCCCCAGACTTGGTTAATGTTTCTAGCCGTTTGGGCTCCGCTTCGGCCGAGTTTAAACTCGTAAAAGAAAATCGTACGAAATTCTCGCTTTGACATTATAAGGATGACTGAATTATTTCCAAGTAGCGGAATGCTACAGAGGTAAACAAACAATATCATTTGGAAGAGGATTAATAAGTGTTGACATTCATACAAATGAGTAATCCTGTAAACGTAAACAGAATATTTTATATAGATTTTTTTTAATGAAAACTTAAAATCCTGCATTATTTTCCGGACAACCCAATACCAATTTTTCAACTCAATCAAGCTTTACATAATATTTAAAAAAATATATTCTTCATGAATTGTGAGATTTCCTCTTGTTTGGGGTTTGATGAACCTGAACATCTCGGTCTTTTCCGAACATTTCACTGTGTCAAACGCGCGTTTCTCGCCATCTTCAGTGATTTTTGATTATTCAGAAATCGTGAGATGCGGTCTGGCGTGATGTAGGTTTAGAAAAACATTTTCTTTATTGTGCCAACGTTTCGACCTTTATTGTTATTATTATAGTGGTTTTGGAGTTATTTTTCCTAGTTTAATGGCTTTTATTCCGTTAGGGAAATTGTGGTTTGGTTGTTTCCGATCATTTTGGTCGCGTTATACGATTTTTGCCCTTACAGACCAAAAGTTCAAACGTTTCATATAAGATTTTTCATAAAAGTTGTCAAATATGAATATAAAAGTTTACTTGTCTTTTTAAAAAAAATTGTAGATGCTGATGACAGGTATACGTTCCCGAAACGTCGAATAAATGTTAATAAGTGACTTTTTTTTCATAAAAAACAACCAAAACAAACATGTAAGAGGATCTTCTATGCAATCGACCAGCCTTTTTAATAGTTACTTAGGATTATGGTCAGAAATTTTTTTTCATTTTTGCACCAACGCGAGCTTCGACGATATTCGTCTTCTTCGGTGTTTCAAACATTTTGCTGTGTCAGAAGCGCGTTTCTCGTCATCTTCAGTGGTTTTTGAGTTATTTTTCATAGACAAACTGAATTTATTACGTTAGTGAAATAGTGGTTCTATCTGATCATTTTAGTCGCCAACATACGCTTTTTGGCCTGACAGATCAAAATATAAATACACCCGTTTCACATAAAAGTGGTTAAAAATGAATATCTATGTTATACTTGTCTTTTAAAAAAAAGTATCACTGATGATGGGTGTAAGTTCCCGAAACGTCAAAAAATGTTCATAAGTGATATTTTTTTTCATAAAAAACGAACAAACGTGTAATACGATCTTCTATACAATCAACCAGACTTTCTAAAAGTTACATGGGATTAGGATTATGGCCAGAAAAAATTTCTCATTTTTGCACCAACGCCGAGCTTTCGTCGACATATTTCGTCTTCTTCAACATTCTTGCATTAATTTGCACACATATACATAGGTATATCACATATGCTTGACAATTTACTACTTAGTCAAAATATCAAATTATTAAACGGGTTTGTCAAATAATAACAAAACTCCTTGAAACTATACTTTTGGGTTGAAGCAATTTAATGCAGATTTTCCTTTTCGCTTTACTTTTAATGCCAAATATGTAAACAAAACTAATCCATTGTGCTAAGAGGAATGCAATTTAAAGCCTGTTTATCTAGCTTTATTTCCCTTATAATCATTTTAAAAACATTTAAGTCAGTCTGTTCAGTGCCTTCAAACAAAATGATGTCTAACAGCGATTTTGGGAAAATTTATTTCTATGGATTTAAACTTGGGCGAAGTGCAGCGCGAACCGCTCGAAACGTTAATGAAATTTGGGGGCAAAGAGCCATAAATGAATCCACAGTGCGGTGTTGGTTTCATAAATTCCGTAATGGAGATTCTCACGAGCAAAGAATGCGATGGCCGTCCTTCTGCTATTGACGACGAGTTAAAGGCTATAGTTGAAGCTGACCCCACAAAAACTACTCGAGAAACAGCGGAAGAACTTGGTGTCGACCAATCCAAAGTTCGCTATCTGGAAGCTATCGGGAAAGCAAAGAAACTCGACGAGTGGGTTCCAAATGGGCTGAACCTCCAAAAGGATCGCAGGTATGAAATCTGTTCAATGCTTTTCTCAACAAAAGTGAAAAACCAGGACACTTCTCACAGCCAAGCTTACATAAAAAAACATTATGGTAACTGTCTGGTGGTCATCTGCAGGACATTTATTACAGCTTTCTCAATCCGGGTGAAACCACTGCTGAAAAGTACTGTAATGAAATTAATGAGCCGAAAACTGCGACATTTATGACCAGCATTAATACGACAACGCACGCCCACACGTCGCACAGCCGACTCTGGCCCACTTCATGAGTTAGGAGGCTTTACCACATCCACCAGATCTTTCTCGAACAGATCACTTTTTTAAACATCTCAACAATTTTTTGTGGGAGAAAAGGTTCAGCAGGTAGAATGACATTGAAAAGGCATTTCGGGATTTCGTCGATTCCTGATACGCTAGTTTCTACTCTTCTGGGATTGATGCATTGGTTGTGCCTTGGCAAAAATGTACAGATAGTAATGGAACTTATTTCCATTAAACATATTTTGTTGAAGTTAAATTGTACCTTGTTTTCACTGAACATCAAAACCTTCCATTAATTTTGCATCAACCCAATATTTAACAATACAAATAGGAAACTTAACTATAAAAAATATAAATAATAAAACAACTACACAACAGGTATTTATACATTACATGGGCGATGTCTTATTTGAGGTTTTCCTTTTGTGGTTGTTTTTACACATTGCCACACGAATTTACCTCTTTGTCTCACTAATACTAATTTTTCAACACGGCCTGTTTTTTATATAAATAAATACATAAATAATTGTTTATATTTTGTTCTCATTATTTTAAATCTAATGAGAATTGATATGATTTATTTGGGGAAAAGGGTTTATAGTCTAAAATTCGACTATAAATAACACTTAGTTAACTAATGCCCATGCGATATATTTTTTATAGTCAGCATCTGTGCCTATGTGTTTGTATGAAAATTAATGTAAGAATCTGAAGACCCTGAAGAAGACGAAATATATCGACGAAAGCTCGGCGTTGGTGCAAAAACAAGGAATTTTTTCTGACCATAATCCTAATCCTATGTAACTATTAGAAAGGTCGATTGCATAGAAAATCCTTAATACATTTTTTTAATGAAAAAAATTCGACACTTATTAGCATTTATTCGACGTTTCGGGAATTTACACCCATCATCAGTTCTACAATAAAAAAAAAAAGACATAAGTATAACGTTGATATTCATATTTAACAACTTTTATGGGAAACGTTTGAAATTTTGATCTGCCAGGCCAAAAAGCGTACACGGGCGACCAAAATGATCGGAAACAACCAAACAACAATTTCACTAACGTAATAAAATCAATTCGTCCACGAAAAATAACTCAAAATATTTGGAACCCTGAAGAAGGCGAAGTATATCGTCGAAAGCTCGGCGTTGGTGCAAAAATAAGGAATTTTTTCTGACCACGACCCTAATCCTAAATAACTATTAGAAAGGCTGGTCGATTACATAGAAAATCCTTAATACGTTTTTTAAAATGAAAAATATGTCACTTATTAGCATTTATTCGACGTTTCGGAAATTTACACCCATCATCAGTTCTACAATTAAAAATAAAAATACATAAGTATAACATTGATATTTATATTTAACAACTTTTATGTGATACGGCTTTATTTGTATTTTGGTCTGTCAGGTCAAAAAGCGTACACAGGCGACCAAAATGATCGGAAACAACCAAACAGAAATTTCACTAACGTAATAAAATCAGTTTGTTTATGAAAAATAACTTAAAAAAACCACTGAAGATGGCGAGAAACACATATCTGACACAGCAGGGTGTTTGCAATCCTGAAGAAGACGAAACATATCGTCGAAGCTCGCGTTGATGGAAAAAATAAGGAATTTTTTCTGACCCTAATTCTACGTAACTTAAAAAGGCTGATCGATTGCATAGAAGATCCTATTACATGTTTGTTTTGGTTGTTTTTTATGAAAAAAAGGCACTTATTAACATTTATTCGACGTTTCGGGGGCTTATACCTCTCATCAGTATCTACAATTTTTTTAAAAAGGCAAGTAAACTTTGATATTCATATTTAACAACTTTTATGAAAACGTGTGGTGATTAGTGATCGTTAGTCGATAATTATTCAGGAATCGTGAGATGCGGTCTGGTGTGATGTAGGTTTCAGAAAAACATTTTATTTATCGTGCCAACGTTTCGACGTTTATTGAGATCATCTTCAGGGTCTGGGATTTACAAACATTGTTTAAATTTAACAAATACATGTGGGATCCTACATGTATTTGCTAAATTTAAACAATGTTTGTAAATCCCAGGCCCTGAAGATGATCTCAATAAAGATCGAAACGTTGGCACGATAAATAAAATGTTTTTCTGAAACCTACATCACACCAGACCGCATCTCAAAATATCTGAATAATTTTTATGAAAACTTTTATATGAAATATTTGAACTTTTGGTGGTAAGACCAAAAATCGTATAAAGCGACCAAAATGATCGGAAACAACCAAACCACAATTTCACTGACGTAATAAAATCAGTTTATCTATGAACAATAACTTCAAAACCACTGAAGATGGCGAGAAACATGCGTCTGACAGCAAAATGTTTGGAACTCTGAAGGCGAAATATACCGTCGAAAGCTCGGCGTTGTTGGGAAAATAAGGAATTTTTTCTTACGACAACCCTAAACCCAAGTAACTAAAAAACACGTGAAAACGTTTTCAAACAAAAACTCAAAAATTTAAATTAGACATATTAATCTTAAAAATTCCAATGTTAAAATAACATAAATAAAGCATTTATATAAAAAAATAAATAAATTTGTATTTATTTATATTGTATTTCGTTATGTTTGCCAAATTATCTGTGGGATATAACCTGGCAGCAATTAAAAGTCGAGCTCTAAAACGGTGCACTTTCTGGCTTCAACTATATTATAGTTATTTTTTCAAAATTGGGTAGTTTTGTTTAAGTATTGGGGTTTTATCTCGTGTTAAGTTCAGTGGTCTAGTTTGAGGAAGGCGGGGTTGGAGAGATAGGAGGTCAGTGGGGCGATGAGAATTGACGGTGTCCCTCTGGAACACGAAAAAAATGTTAATCCTGGAGAAAAATTGGCCGGAATGTGAGCAGGTGGAGCACTCTTTAGGCAGGCAATTTCCCCTCCCAAACAAATAAAACCGGGGTTATAAGTTCCTATTTTTTTTATTTTGTTTTTTTATTTTTTTTACCGGGCCGACAGCTCTCCGTTGTGAATTTCACGGTTGTCCGTCGTCGGCACGCCGTCGGGGCGACGTCCAGCACTCGTGGCATTCGCCCTCCTCGTCCCGTTTCTCAGGATTGGTGAGTCTTTTTATATTTCCATTGGATCTCGGATACTTACAACGGGGGTGAGGTTATAAACGGGGAAAACACTTTCACACGTACTTTTACACGAGCCGAAAATGCTTTTCCGGAGGATTGGAAACGCACGATGGGATTAACTTAGGCCCAAACGCAACCCCTTAAATCGTTTGCCTGTCGAAACGTTCTCTAATTAACGCTCACTGACAATGACGAGGAACTGCGAATCCCGTTCGGCCGCATCCCCAGGATCATCAGAGTCCTACCATCCGACAACCTTTGAAGAACTGCACACTCTTTATTTTTGAACTATCATTCAAATTGATTCAAAAATATCCAAAAGCGTCTATTATCCGCGCTAATTACGATGGAAAGGCACAACGTTTAAACCGCTTTAATAACACCTCATGGATTTTCCAGTTGGCGACAATACATCATGAGAACACTATCCATAAATGCTTTTCCACAAGACCCGGCGATCAGACGTAAACACAGAAACTTAGATAAGCTAGAGAAAAAAAATCAATAGGTTGATAAACACGATAGAGCTAAATTGTAAGAGAAAGCAAGCTGCCGTGCTGTCTGTCGAAGAGGGAGGTTACTCGAGGTTACGTCGTTCCAACACGTGCTAAAACAATATGTAAATGAAGCCGGCTCCCATTGGTTAATTTGCATTAAGGAGTAATTGCGAGCTTCAGCCGGTTAGTACGTAATCAAGGCAAGAGAGTGCTCCGGTCCAGGGATGCTGTATTGATCCGTCCCGGTTCGGCCGTGAACCAACAGATGCCAGGTGAATGTCCCCGCGGATCGTAAAACGCTTCTATCTTGAATTATCTGTCAAAAGTTATAACTGCCCATTGTTTCTGACAATAAAGCTTCAATCTAGTCGTCGGTGATGGTCATTAGATGCTGCAGGTCGCACTGGACCGTTTAAATCTATGATACGGCTTTGCAACATATGGTGTCATGGTGTTCCCACTTACCGACAGATAGCATCAACGTTAATTTTTCGACGGTTTAATGCAAGACGCGAGAAAGGTCTATTTGGTACTAGATATTGTGGTATGAGGTGATGAACCTTGGTCGTTTTCGATCATTTTGGTCAACCCATCCTCTTTCCGTCTGACCGAGAATAGGCTGACCAAAATGTTGTAAATGACCAACCTGCTGGTTCATCACCCCTTAGACCTCAAGAGGAAATCTTAAAAAACCTAATAAACAACTTCTTTCTCTCGTCTTACATTAAGCATTGCAGATCTCTGAAAAAATCAACATGAACGGTACCTGGGAACACCATACCATATGCCAAATAACTGGCGTTTCTGACAGAATTAGTTACAGTTATTAACAAGTGTGAGATTTTGCTTTGTGATCTGTGGGTCGATGAACCAATAGGTTGGTCGTTACAGATCATTTTGCTATCCTTATCCTGGTTTTGGTCTGTCAGAGGCGGATCGCCTTTTAACCGTTTTCTGGGCTGGGTTTTTCCTTATAACTATACAATTTCAAATTTGATGACATTAAAGTTGTTAAATTTCCCCATCTTCTGTGGTTGGTCATGGGATATAAGCAAGGTGAGACCCTCCACAGAAGATACCAAAGTGCCGAAACAGTGCTGACAGACCAGAACCAAAACTGTAGTTGCTGTTGCATGAATTTCCTTGAAAAAATGACATCCATGTCAATTGTGTCATTTCTCGATATAGAAGTGTGCAAGGTGAGACCATCCACAAAAAATACCAATGTGCCGAAACGGATCTGACTGGAGTTATTATTGCATGAAACTTGATGAATTTTCTCCGTGATGCCTACGGGTTGATGGGCATTTATAGAAGAGAGCTCTTCACTGTGCTTTATTCCTCGTCTGACCTACAATTACCTTCATATTCTGCTATAGCTGTTCTCCCAAAACTGCAAATAATTTCAGCTTTGATTTATTTCTTTTCTTAAAAGACGTTAGTGGTTTGTTGTAAAACAGTGTGGAATCAAGAAGAATAAAATAAACAAGACCTGGCCAGCACGATTATGATCATCTACGTCGCATCGATTTTGGGGACTACAGAAAAAAATCAAGCTTGTGCGAGTTGTCGTGAGATTTCGCCTTTGTTCGAACAATCACCAGTTCGACGTCGATGTTATTGTGAGCTATGGTATTTGAGAAGTCGAAAGAGAAGAAAGCAATGGCTGCATCCATATGAATGTGAGACAGTCCGTCCTAGTTACACAAGAGCTGATTGGTGCATCCTTTTTTGTTATTCTTACCTAAACTGCCATTCTTCATTTAATTACCTTAGCACAAACTTAGGAAAACTGACAATCATACATCTAATTGATGTCGTGTACTTACGAGATATTGCGAGATGTCCTCTTGGGGTTTGCTTAGTAATGAACTCGTACTGGTCTCTTGAAGAGAGATGGTACAGAATTCTGTAAGTCAATCACTACCATACTAGCTACTTCATTACCGGTTGGTACGAACAATCAACCATTCCTCGACTATATTGTTGATGACGAAACTTCCTTCTTTGCCATATTTGTTGGCATTACCCGAAAAACGTGTTTTTCAATTTTCGGCTTAGTACATAGAGGAAAAAGTACGGAATGCACGAAAATTGTTGGAACCTAGGAGTTTTTATTTCAATGATACCTGTTGTGCTTGATGTGGGATCTGAGAATTTCTGAGCGTTTCAAGCTGTTCTTCAGAGTTACTTTTAACAACCACCCGTTACAACATTGGAGAACGAAACATGGATTTTTATAAAAAACTCACCACTTTTTTGATTTTCCATCTTCCTAGCAGTGATGAAAGAGACCAGGTGGTGTCTCCTTATCTTAAGATAGAAGTTGCGATCGCAAAGGTGTGAACTTATTTTAATGTTCATTCACGCTTGGGTCGACGCGTACCTTATAAACCAATCGTAAATCGCACATGTCCTGTGTGTCTCATTGCTCTAGTTTAAGAGCTTGTTTTATTTGTAAAATACAATTATCACCATAACCGATTTCATCTTGACTCGACAGATGTCGGAGCCATGATGATTGTACAAATCCGGTAGATGGCAGATAAAGTGACTCTAGCCTGCTCTTCTAACATCGCTTTCTTCAGCGGTCTGTCGTAGGGCAATGAATACATCAACAAAATAAGAAAAAAAAAGTTAAGAAAAAAAAAACTAAAGTCAAAAATTGAAATAAAGCAGACCATATTATTCCTGACCACCAAGGCTTCACTAATCCACCAAATTCCCTTAGCCTTAGGACCTGTATGTAGGCCTAGAACCTATATTGGAATAACAAGGACATACAGGGGGGCGTCGGTGGCCGCAGCGGTTTAGGCGTTGACTCAGCGCTCATCACTGTAAGGTAAAGGTCCCGGGTTCGAATCCAGCGGCCCTGAATTCGAACCCGACATACTTATAAATGGGCTTTTTTTCAAAAACACCGGCACCCTGAGGGTTTGTATGACCTCTGCTGTTGCGAACCCTCGTAAAAAAAGAAGAAAAAAAAGGACATACAAAATCCTCCATCTCAGAATGGGTTCATAAAAACCGAGAAGGGGACGAACTCCAGAGGTGCCAGACATATTTATGATTAAAAAATCATCAAAATTGGACACGTTGCAACAGCTAGGGAGGGTAAAACTCAGGGTGATAGGTGACAACAGGTATGTTCAATTATGACCTAATTTGTAAGTTATGGAATGAAGATAAAGAAACTGCCACCTATATTATCTTAGCATACGAAGCAAAAGTTAGACATAACCAGGCATATCAAGAAGACCCCAAGAAAAGAATTGCAGCAGTGACAGTCAATGATCTAATTATACTTAAAATAAAGTCTAGGAAAAATACAATAAAAACAGAAAATTGGAGTGCTTGGGAAGTCAAAAACCACTGCTCTCAGACGTTCCATGGCGTATGGTTTATTATTGAAACGCGAATCCTTTCTTTCTAATACATACTTTCTCATTCTAAAATTGTACTTTTTGATTAACTTAACTTTTTCATCTCTGGTGTTCATTCAAGGAAGCACACTATGTACGATACTTTTCAGCATATACATGTGAGACTTTTCTCAACAACGTAACGCACTCCTTACCTTAGAAACATTCTTAAATGGAGAATAAAAATATATAAAAACCACATCCCAATTTGTGTCCTTCCTCCACGTTACTGAATCAGATTTAGTATTGCTTATCCACACGTCATATTCAAGTAGAGAGAAATGAACAGGGAAAATGTGTAGGACTTAAAATACACCCCTGTCTAACCCCCTTTTTTTTTAAACTCTGAATACACATTTAAAACAACACAATCAGTTTCCTAAATTTTTAAAAACTAAATTAAAACAATAATATGCGTAAAAATTTATTATTAATTACATAATTGATTGATATGCTCAAGAATTGAAGGAATGATAGATTTATTGATGGTGTGGAGTCGATTGTCGATCAGAATCCGCTGGACATTCAATTCTTCCCGACTCTCAAAAAGGTCGACGTCTTCGTGCTAAATGTGCCGAAAACTTCCTGGCAAAAAAACAAACAAACAAAAAACATTAGTCTCAAAATGAGTAGAATAAACAAACAAATAAACAAAACACAACAACATTAATGTACAGTCTCTCTCTTTTTATATTTCACAATTGCTTTTTCTTTCGCTTTCTCCCTCGCATATGCTCTCCCTCTTTCTTTTTTCTCTTTCACACTTACTCTTTATTTCTCTTTTTTCGCTCTCTCACACATCACCTCTTTCTCTCTTTCTCTTCATTTTCTTTTTCTTTCTTTCTTTCTCTCTCTCTCTCTCTCTCTCGCTCTCCCTCATATGATCTCTCTTTTTGGTTTTCTCTTTCACACTTGCTCTTTCTCTCTTGCTATCTCATACATGCTCTCTCTTTTTTCAATACTTACACTTTCTCTGTTTCTCATATGCTCGATGTATGTATCGAACTATCTCTCCTTAAGTTAGGCAGGAAAAGAGGCAAGATTTTATATTTCACCACTAGTTTTTTAAATTCTAAATGCTCTCTCCGTCTGTTTGTCTCTCTACTTTCTCTCCGAATCCGATAAAATTAGTAGGAAATATAGAAAAGTTTATAAATGTAAAAGGAGAAATTAAGAAAAACAAGATTCGACCCATTTTCACGGCTGTACGATTATGCTAAACCATCATGACTTGTAGTTATTGCAAAACTAATGAACTTTGCGCCGTGTAATTTATTAGCTACTAATTCTTACCTTGCTGTCTCTATCTCTCTCTCTCTCTTCTCTCTCTCTCTCTCTCTCTCTCTCTCTCTCTCTCTCTCTTATGCATGCTCTCCTATTTGCAATTTCTCTATATCTCTCTATCACATGCTCCTTCTCTCTCTTTTTTCACAATTGATCTTTTTCTCTCTCTTGCTCTCTCACGCACTCTCTCTCTCTCTCTCTCTCACTCACATACAAGCTCTCTCTCTTTTTTCACAATCGATATTTCTTTCTCTCTCTTGCTGTCTTACCCATACTCTCTCTCTTTCTTTTGTCTTTTACACTTCTACTTTCTCTACATATTTCTCTCTCGTTGTCTTTCACATACTCTATCTCTTTCTCTTTTCTACACTTGTCATTTCTTTCTCTTCTCCCTCCCTCACATGCTCGATTTTTTCTTTTCTCTCTTTCACACGAAAGCTCATTATTTCCTCTCGTGCTTTCTCACACATGCTCTGTCTTTTTTTACATCTCTTTCTCACCAATTACTATCTCCCACTCGATTTTTGAAAGTTTATTTTTAAATTGTAATAATTAGAAATTTCAAGATATTTTTCACATTTTAAGCTCCATCTAAGTCCAGTTTTCGCTCTACTGTTTTACGAGGGAACACCATATTTTTTTAAATGTACTTCTCAGACGTTTAAAACTACTAGTGTTTGGTTTTAGTTCAATTTTTGACTATTTCTTTATATTAATATAGTATATAAACACAAGGACAAATTCATCGATTCATTAAAGCAAATATTTTTTTAGTCGGCCTCAGTAAATTTTCATTCGTTTTTTTCTTCATTTTCGTCATGTTCAAGTTTGAAATAATATTTTTCAACGCCAACAACAGCAAGGTGAAAGTGAGGAATTGGTGAAAACGGAGCTTATCTGAAGGTGAGCTTCGCGATGGCTTTTTGGTCGGAGCAATGTTGTGTGAACAGTATCTTATTGCACGGCTATAAAGGGGTTATTAATGTCATTTTGATATACGATAACTCTCTACATTCTGACAGCCGAGTAATATACGATTTTGTATTCAAGTACTTACAAGATGGATGGTCGGAACCCGGGTGCTAAACGGCCACTCGAATCCCACAACTGACCGGTACTTGAGCGTCGTCAGAACAAAACAATTTCGAGCGTTCTGGAAAAAAAAGCAAACAGTTAAAAATATAAATATATTTCAATTAATTAAGGTTTTTAGTTGAGATAAAAAAGTCAGTGTCACGAGCGGGATTCGAACCCACGACCTTCGGATAGATACGCCGCTACTCTACCACTTGAGCTATCGTCTTCGATCCACTCGGACATTTGAAAAATTACAAAAAGGAGGGAAAATTCAAAAGGTGGAGTTGAGATGGGAAGTTAGTGGATCGAGGCCACGATAGCTCAAGTGGTAGAGCAGCGGCGTATCTAGCCGAAGGTCTTGGGTTCGAATCCAGCTCGTGCCATTGACTTTTTATCTCAACTAAAAACCTTAATTAATTTTTAAAAAAGGTTTATTTGTTTATATATTTATTTATATGATTATTTATTCAATATTCAAGCAATTTATCTGTGATATTTCTGCCATTTTTCATAACATTCATTTGACTTGATGAATCTGCAAATAAAATTGTTGGCAACCGTTTATAGAATAAATTTCGATTTTGAAAGTAGAGATTTTGCTAAGAAAAATTCTCTTTACAATGTTTTATATGTTGTGTAATTTTTGAGAAAAGCAACAAATTGGAGAAAACCGAATTATTGTAATGGTTAAAAGCAGAATTTATGGTTAAAAAAATAATTTTTTTCTTGGCTGAGTAATTTTTAAGAAAACCAGAGGTGACACTAGTGAATTGAAACTTTCTAAATCTATCTGTTTTTCTCATAAAATCGCATTAATTTGATGAATCCGCATATGAAAATAAAAATTACCGTTAAAAATCCATTTTTTAACTTTTTTAAGAAATTGAAAGAAAAAAACTGTAATTATTGCAATATTTTTTAAGATAACTTAAGTAGAGCATAGGCTAAATTTTTTTTTCTAAATTAGTAGGTTTCGAAAATAACAATGGCGACCCCTGTAATTTTTATTTACTTTGTAACATCCTTTACCCATTCATAAACACTGTCCTCATTTTTTAACACATTCAATCCATTCCCCTTAAACCCATTAAGGCTTTACGAGAATAGTAACCTAGAAATCTGGGAGAGCAACGATGGTTGCTGGTACCCGTTAGGATATATGTAAACGATAAAATGTATATAATTTGCATAGATGGTTATCAAATAAACTTAAAAAATTAAATTTTGCTTACAATTAGACGTTGCCATTACGTTGGTACACAAGGAAATTTAGGAACTTACTTATTTACTTATATAACTGTGCCATTCCTTTAAATTCATATCAGCTATTTGAACAATTCTAACTTCAAATAGTTGTAATTATATATTCAAGGAAGCTATCGTGACTTCGATCCTCTCGGGCACTAACTTCCCATCTCAACCCCACCTTTTTGAATTTTCCTTCTTTTTGCCATTTTTCAAATGTGGTGTAATCAATTTGATTCTCGGCGACAAATGAAAAATTGAAAAATGGCAAAAAGGAGGAAAATTCAAAAAGGTGGGGTTGAGATGGGAAGTTACTGTCCGAGTGGATCGAGGTCACGATAGCTCAAGTGGTAGAGCAGCGGCGTATCTAGTCGAAGGTCTTGGGTTCGAATCCCGCTCGTGACATTGACTTTTTTATCTCAACTAAAAACCTTAATTAATTGAAAGATATTAATTGGTCAAGCAGACCATGAAAACTAGTGAATTTAATACAAATATTTTTTTTAAATTTTTTTAAAATTATCAATAAAATAATGGATTGGCTAAATAAAAATGATAAAACTGTTAACGATGGGTTAGGTTTAACATATGAAAATTTACAAACGAAAAGTCGCTTCCAGTAAAGGCTAAAAAATTTGTCTTTTGGAAAAAAAATCAGATTCATTTCAAGCAATTTTTATAAAAAAAAATAGATTTTTGGGCTGGATCAGCCGGGGCATTTTTTTTCTCCCGTTTCACTCGATGTTTGGCGTCCCTTTCACTTCATAAAATTTCTGGAGTTTATCCAATTATTACAGCATTTAGAAAGCTGCATGTTTTTTCTTTGTGCCTTTATCAACAACCTTTGGTTTTTAATTTAACACTAGTGAGAAAAATAAGAATAAAATGAACAAAAATTTCTCAAACTTTTTTTATCTCATGCCATCTTCTGTAGTTCTTAAAGTCCTAAATTCCTTTCAAGTTGGAAAACTGGATGTTTTTTCTTTGTGCTTTATCAACAATCTATAGTTTTTAATTTAATACTAGTTAGAAAAATAAGAATAAAATGAACAAAAATTTCTCAAACTTTTTTATCTCATGCCATCTCCTTCATGTAGTCCTAATTGCAGTTTACTTATATCAATCAATAAAAAGTCATTATACATAAACGTATACGTTCGTATACATGTGCGTATACGTATAAATAACGGCTATCGATATTGTTTCTTGGTAAAAAAAAATATTTAGACATACATTGCTACGTCGCTGGATCAAAAATTATTATGTATTGTATGCAGGTTTTATATACAGGGTGGCCCCAATCGATTCAGCCACACTTCCAGATCTTATAGGAAGAAATTGAACGCTTGAAAACAGTTGAAATACAACCAAATTAGATTGGTTTGAGAAATTTGAAATTAAAAAATGTAAAATTGAACATGGTGATAAATGCATTAATAATATAACAGATTTTGATCTACCTCCCATTTTAAATATGTATTGGGTTGTCCGGAAAATAATGCAGGATTTTAAGTTTTCNTAAACTAATTATTTTAATTGTTATTATTTTTATAGTAATTTAATAATATTAAGTATTTACTAGTATAATATTTATTTATATTATAATTTCCGCGTTTCGCACGTTCAAATTGAGCGCCATGAAAAAAATCAGCTGCTAATTGGAACGTCGCGTTGGCGGAGGTATCAACGGGTTCAATTTGGCAATTCATGTCGAGAGACGTGGTTGTAGAAGTCCTTCAACCTGATGATGAGCTAAAAGGCTCGAAATCCGGATCGTTGCAAAACAACTTATTGTGAGTAGGAACTATCTTTTTAAAAAGGAAATTGAACGCTGAGTAAAAAAGGTCCTATGAACCTGTGTCCGCAAACCCGTCAGTTCTGAGCTACAGGCAAAAAACCATGGAAAACCTCGTTTTTTGACCTTATTCGTGAAATTGTTAACAAACCGTTAGCCTGACCATAAAACAGCTCGAAACAACAACTGTAGAGGATTCTGCGTCGAATGAGATTAAAATCAGCTTGATCGGCCGAAAATTTCATTTCTGACATTTTTATCGAAAATTCACAATTCGAACACCCTATAAAAAAATTCTCCGTTACAAACCTCGTTTGTTGATGATTCGCTCACTATCGCACTCGCAACGCAGAAAATATTTTTCGCTCAAGTTATTGTAATGGTTTTTTACAATAAATAAAATATAATGTTCATTAAAAGTTGCGCAGAATTTCTAAAATTGTTAAGTAAGCCGTTCAGATTTTTCGTACATTATTTCATTCAGTAGGGGGTACCCATCAGAAAACACTATCATTCGATTTGAGTGAAAAGCAGTAAATTAGCCAAAATTCGAATGTTTCATGAATCGGACTGGAGTTGGTCTAACGTGACGGAGAATTTCTTGATAGGGTGTTCAAGTTGTGAATTTTCGATAAAAATGTCAAAAATGGTGAATTTTGTGTATCCCTTCACCTCCAAACTTCGAAAAATCGCCAAAAATGAAATTTTGGCCGATCAGGCTGGTTTTAATCTCATTCGACGCAGAAATTAATCCTCTACAGATGTTGTTTCGAGCTGTTTTACGGTCAGGCTAACGGTTTGCTAACAATTTCATGAATAAGGCCAAAAAACGTGGTTTTTCATGGTTTTTTTTCCTGTAGATCGGAACCGAAGGGTTTGCGGACACAGGATCATAGGTCCTTTTTTTATTCAGCGTTCAATTTCGTCCTATAAGATCTGGAAGTGTGGCTGAATCGATTGGGGCCACCCTGTATATACATATTGTTTTATATATATAAATAAAATTTAATTAAAATTTTATTCCGAACAAAAAACATAAAGTATGTAACTTACGGATTGAAGTACGTTCTGATAGCAATTATTTATAAGTTTTAAATAAGGCTTATTTTGAAAAAAGTTACTCTTTCCAACGAAGAACGTATGACATGGTTTCTTAAATTTTAAATTGAGAAAGTAGTGAGAGAAGTGAAAAATTCCATTAAACGTCGCGATTACCCTTTCCCAATCTCTTTCTCTTTCTACACCATTAAAATCGCATAGGTCCTTCTTTCTCTCACACTTCAGCCAAAACTTTTTTAATATTATAGAGAGATTTTTATCCTTTTAAGAATTTTTTTGTTTACAAAAACGGTGATGACTTTCCACCAATCCACAGGAAACCTAGCAGAAACTAAGAACCTGTAATTAATGGTACGCGTTATTTTTAGGCATAATTTTTTCTAATTTATTATGTCATAAAAGTAAAACTTTACTGATAAAGACTGAAGAGACATTCAGTTATCCAATGGTCGTTTCATTGCAAAAAAAAGTCTCTAATTTTGCCTCCTAAATGCCTCTCATATTTTCCGAATATCAAAAAATAGAATGATTATAATATTAAATTACAAATGTATATAAAAAATTTAGAAACTTTAGTTGATTTTTTTCTTATTTGTTTATTTCTTATATTCTTATTCCTACGGATCTAAAACCGTTTAATAAAATCCAAAAATGTTATGAAATTGCATAATTGCAACACCTGACGTTAACAAAAAAATTGGAAAATTTATGTAATTTGGTGTTTTTCACAAAAATCCCCCAATTAAAAAAACAAACAAAATTAATCAATTATTCAATTTTTATTTTTTCAGGTGTTGTCGATAAGTTGTTAAGTAGTCCTTGATCAAAGTATAAATCCGTCAAGCCAAAGTCCTATTTTAATTTAGTTAATATTAACATAATAAGTTCCGTTGCGTAAACGAATTGACCTCAATTACACTCAATATTCTGCCACACTAAACATTCACGCTAATAAGTACATATGAGTGCTTGCATAG